TATTATGATCTTTCCTCTCCTCTCCTCTCCATCTCCATCTCCTCTCCTCTCCTCTCCTCTCTCTCTCTCTCTCTCTCTGTCTCTCTCCGTCTCTCTGTCTCTCTCTCTCTTCTCGTTACTCGTGTCCTTCTTGTTCCTCCCCTCCCTTCCCCCCTCCTTTCCTCCTCTCTTCTTCTGCTCTGCTCTCTCTTCCTCATTTCGCTTCAGACGTTCATGATCCACTTACTCTGTCGAGATCGCTGTCTTCCCTCCACAGATGAGGTCAGATGGGTAGCTGAAACAAAGGCGATGAGCGCAGCAACCAGATTGAAATACAGGACAGACAAACAAGAGAATCCGAAAAAACACAGAGATAAGACACAGCGAGAAAATACAGTAATAAGACAAAGAGCGTGAAAACAATAAGACAGAGGATAGAAACTGAGCAAGAGGATAGAAACTGAGCAAGGGAGATGAGACCATGATGGAATGGTACAGGAGGAGAGGTTATAGAAAGAATATTCATCTCATCCTCACATCATCATAAACATCCTCACATCCACACCCTTCTAATGAGCAGCAGCAGCAGCAGCATCAGCATCTTCAGCAGCAGAAACAACAACTACCGGATATCCCATTTCTCATCACAGATGCTTGCAAGGATCGATGTACTGTAATCTTGCCCCCACTCGAGGCACCTTCCTTTCTGCACAGCATTCTTGTCAACGCATCTCCTCTCCCTTCCTCCCAGCCCGCTGCATCCTGCCACTCTTCCTGCCCCTCCTCTTTCCTCTCCTCCTGCCCATGCTCGAGCTCGAGCTCGACCTCCTGCCCTTGCCCTTGCCCCTACTCGTGCTCCTGCTCGGGCGCTACCGGGATCAAGTGTTCGACTTGGCGCATGAAGCGCATGATTGCATATCGAGGAAGCACAAGGAGGTTGAGTGGACCTCCGAGCTTCACTTCCTCGCTGCGCTCCTCCCGCTCGTTGCCCCAGGTTGAGTTCTCTCCTGCCGTCTTGTCAACTGAAAAGAGAGATGGTGAATGTGATGATGACGACGATGATGATGGTAATGATGATGGCGGTGATAATGATGATGCAATGTATTACCTATTGGAAGTAACCTTGCTCGGAAGAGGGCACGATGGAGTCGCAAGTACACCTTGGAGGTACAATGAGGATTTGAACAAGAATGTCAAGAGAAATCAAGCACAATCGTATCGCTTTACACTCTGAAGACTGTTGATGTCATGGGTACACATTCATCATCTCTTTCGTCAGCTTTGTCATCATCATTTTCATCATCATTTAAGTTCAAAAACTAATCCTTATCATCATATGTCGCAGTCATCATCATCGTCATCGTCATCATCGTCATCAACATCATCATTTTCATCATCATCATCGTCATCGTGAACATCATCAGCAAGTAGCATGAAACTAATTTTCACATCATCGCTTCGCAGTTTCACCTCTTGCAACAGATTCTTAGTGTTTGCTCTTGGCACTAGAGGACTTCCGTCCAGCACAGTAGACAGTTTCCCAGGAAGCGCCGCCATGATCTCAGTCATGTCTTCCTTCCTCAGTCCCAACGCTTTCTCCAGCTCTCCTCTTGCAGAGCTTTCACGTTGTTCGTTCTTGCACGTCTTGGTGGACAAGTCGTCGATGATAGCCCTGAGCTCTTCAGCTTCTCCTTCTATGTCTCTCAGTCGCTGAAGCAGCTCGTCGTATTTCTCTTGGGACGCTCCAGCCGCCGCTGGTTCCTCCTTGTGAGATTTCTGACATGTTTTCAGTGCATTCGGACGAGAAGCTCTCTGCTCACCCGATCGTTGTTGCTCCTCACCACCCTCACGAGGTTGACCGCCTTTGACAATCGAACTCGTGAGCGAACATGAAAGATGAAAACAACCGACTCACTTGCTGTGGTGAAGTCACACCGTTGGGCAGCGCGGGACAGAGAGTGATGTTGTATACACCTTGAAAGGTTCAGTCGACACAGCAGATTCCTCACATGTTCTCAGACCAACACTCAATGCAAACAGCTGCACTCGGACGATGCGAGAGTCGGGATGGGAACAAACAGTTTGACGGAACTTGCCGTTGACAAACACCAGGAGGCAAGTTGAAAGGAGATGCTCGCCCTCTCCAGGAGAGCTGAGAAATCGACATCAAACCCTCACATAGAGCCGATAGCCCAGCTCTACCTGCAGTCGGTCATATCGACTTCAGCTGTAAAATCCACTGTTTCATCTGCATCAACAACCTCCTCGACATGCTCGTCGTCCTACATAATCAAGTCTCAACTCAACTCAACCATCCACAGGAGGTTTGCCTCCTTTGGTCTCATGACATGAAAGGTGCTTACAAGAAGTGCAGGAGCCTGTTTACAGAGAGTTTCCTTGGACCAAGTAAAGGAAGCAACAGAATCATTCACAGGAAATAATCGCCCCTGCATGAGCTCAATTTACTTCCCAGACAAGGCAAAGCAAAAACATCACCTCTTGATGCAACAGCTGGCTCAATTCAAATCCATTCACTTGGCTCATACTCATCTTGAACAGCCCAAAATCTTGCAGAAATGCAAATCGATCGAACACCATCAATGTCTCCTTGAACCAAAAAGCCTCAGAATTTTTCACCTGCACTCTCTTCAGACGGCAACAACAAGTATAACACAAACTTGACCACTTCTCTGACCCACTTGGTGTCTTCTTCGTGGAAGCGGAACCCATTCACAAACAGCTTGCGGATGACCTGGAGGTAAAAGCTGAGCAGCAATATCGTCTCCTCCTCTCTTCTCATCACGTATGAGTTCTCTCTGCAGTTCAGGTGCCCGTGCCCTCGCCCTGGTGCACACGCACTTGGAAGGGCCCAGCTTATCACCAGCCGCTGAGAGCGAGTGAGGAGGAGACAGCGACAGGCATCGCGTTACAGAGCGGCAGAACTTGATGATGTTGTCGAGGTAGACATCCTCGTCTTCCTACTCGCATGTCTCTGTCAGAGATCGCAAGACTCGAAGCGGCAGGCACACCGGAGAAAGGTGTTCAGCTACCTCGAGCGACATCACGTTGCCAAGGGGAAGTTCCAAGGACAAGGGCTCCGACAGATCTCCCTACATCCTAAGTCTCAGGACGTAGACAAGGGAGCCGCTCGCATGCCTTCATGATCGGCTTGTAGTAGGCGATATCTTGAATCCCGTCGGTCCCCTCGATCCCGTACACTTGATACCTTGAACATGTCACACCAACAGCCTTGCGGGTCTCAGGGCTCTTCTTCACCCAAGTTCCGAGAGTTTGGAGATGTAGAATCCTTTCCCGCAACCAAAGTCGATCACTGGCAGTTCTTCGATGGACTTGCTTGTCAGTCCCAGCGCAAAGACGCAAAACAGAACCTTTCTGGAGCATTCTCGGCAGCGCTTGCGCTAGTTCGGACGAATGAAAGTGCATGACTTGTGCATCACTGAGAGGCCAGATGGTGACAGGCTTCTCGTTGTGAGGCTGATGGCCAACCGTCAGTCAACAAACACCCAGTTGGACTAGTCGACCAGGTCCTTGTTGATGGGGAGCAGATCTGAGTTCACCATCCTGACGAGACAGAAGACAAGACATGCTCGTCCAAGCATCGAGGTCTTCTCACTCGCTTTCTGAGCGTCTCGACAGACCTCTAACGCCCTCTGCTCTTTTCACGCCTCTTTCCCATCATCCTTGATGTTTTCCCCGGCATGGAATTTTGCGGCCCTCATCCCCTGAAGGGTGTAAAAGAATCAGTCAGAGTTCAGCGGCGCTCAGGAGGCGGATGTATGGGGACCCTGCCTTTCATGGTCTGTGTGCTCGCCGTGTCTGTTTCGGCAGTATTGAGCTCGCATGGGTTTTGCCGTCCTCGTACTGCTCTTGTCCTGATCCTTGTTCCCCTGCTTGTCGTGCATGCCGTCGCTTGCGTGGTTGGATTGGAGATTTTCACTGCCTCCTACTTTTCCTAGTTTGCTGTTGAGGCGGATTTGTTGTTATTCCCTTTCCTCCTTCGTTTGCTCCGGTTTGCCTTTCCCATTTAAGTCATTCGTTAGTGATCGACTAGACAGAGGCCCTGCGGTAGCCTGAAGCTATCAGCCAGTTGTTGAGGTGAAGCATCCTTGCGATGAACTAGTGAGATCAAATCGAGGGAAAGCGGTTGAAAGTGGGGCAGGAGTTTGAGACGATTTACAACAAGTCAACTGAAAAGCCAGCCCCCCGGCACTCTCAAGCCCTGCCTTGACCTTCCGCAGTTCCGGGAAGGACGAGGAGGAGGACGAGGGGGATGAGGGGGACGAGGGGGACGAGAAGGACGAGAAGGCCTTCAGCGCGACGGTGAGGTATCAAATTCACAACAAATACAAAACAACGACTTTCAAACAGCACGCATGAGGTTCTGATAGACTAGTTACTGAGCAATGAAATAATCCAAGTCGAAGAGTTCCTTAGGTTTTTTGTTGAAATGCAGAAGTGTCATGCCGTTGAAGCTATTTCAGGCTCCGAGATCAAATCGAAGCTTTGAGCAGCAGTCTATTGATCACTCAAGATGAAGAAATGTGAATATCAATTCACATCTGACACTTTCATTTATCGACTCCAAGAAAGCCTAACACAACACGAATCACATCATGTGAGAATTTGCTTCTTGATGATGTGCTTCAGTCCTTAAGATAAGATTACATGTGTACCGCTGCATACACCTATGTACATTCTGCTTCGGCAGCATCAAAGAAATTCACAGCCGTTGTAGTTTACATCCCCTGGATCATTACATCCTCGCACAGTGAGCGGGATCGGGTCAAGCCGACCGTCACTTCCGTCCTCCTGCAGGCCTCCACGAGCACCTCGTCGTCGAGCATGTCGCCGATGAAGCGGTTGTAGCGCTGCTGCCGGGTGGCGAGGGGCTTGGCGTGAACGTACTCGAAGCCGAGGGAGTCATCATCGTCGATGGGGGACTGGAGGAGGAGCTTAGGGGGAGGAACGGGGAGGGATGACTGCATACTTGGGGCTGTTTGAGAGCAAGAAGCGAGGATAGGGAGGAGAATGTCGCAGCAAGAGAGTCGCTTGTACGCGTTGGAGTGAGGAGCGGGGGAGGGGCAGGTGTATTTTTACGAGAGCCGGTTACACCGGCCCCAGCTGCTGTAAAGCTGCAATCCAACTTTACTGCTCCACTCGAGCCGATCTGAGGCGGACCTGTTTGGACCCGCTGAGCTCTGACTCTTGGATCAGTCTTGAAGGATCTCCTCTCATGTCAATTATACGGATCTGATCAAGAGTTGTGCCTCGTGATAGGGCGATGTATGCCTGCCCATTCTCAAAGAAAGAGTCTCCAAGATCTATCTCTAAGGCATCTAGCGTCATTCCTTGGCTCTTGTGGATAGATATAGCATATGCTATCTTGAGAGGCATGAATTCTATCCAATTTGTCATGCGCTTGTTGGTATAATCCTTTGTATAGGGAATGATGACCTTCTTTCCATTGACAAGGGTAAGTTTGACCTCCTCCTCATCGGAAATATCATCCACTACACCCCTGCTTCCATTCACAATCCCTTCGGTTATAAGCAACGTAAGACCTCAGGGACTTGTTGCGTCGCTCAGCCTCACTGACGCTCCTCGCGCCTCACAGGGCTGAAGCTGCCCAAGTACAACGTGGATGAAGAAGATCTCTCCGAGTACGGCAAGCGCCTAGGGCTCAAGGGTGGGTGGATGGCGAACACTGGCAGACAAGAAGCAAACGTCGATCCGCGAGGACCTCAACAGCATCGCCAAGAACGCTGCTCAGAATAGCGAAGCGCCAAGCTCGCAGTGAGCCTGGAGATGCTCGATGATGTGAATATCGTGTCATTACATTACAACCACAAAAACTCTTCTTCCGTATGAGAAGTACGCTATGCTATGCTATGCTATGCTATGCTATGCTATGCCATTCTATGCTATGCTATGCTATGCTATGCTATGCTATGCTATGCTATGCTATGCTATGTAGCAGACGAGAAGGGGCAAGATCGATGAAAAACCGTCCGTACAATGGAGCTTCTTTTCCTCCTTTAGCGCGCGACGCTGGCCGACCATGCGTTTCTTCTGCATACCTCCTCATCCAGTAGCAGAGGCTTCTCCAGTAGACTCTCGACCAAAGAGCGCGAGCGCGAGAACCTCGCGCCTTGAAGCTTGCTGCAGCGCTCGATGAGGACCTCGTCGTCGAGCATGTCGCCGGTGGAGCGGTTGTGATGCTGCTGCCTGGAGGTGACGAGGGGCTTGGCGTGGACGTACTCGAAGTCAAGGGAGTCATCATCGTCGATAGGGGACTGGAGGAGGAGCTTGGGGGTCGAGGAAGAGATCGAGGAAGGAGGAGTAGAGAGAGGAAAGGGAGATGAAAGTATGGAGATCATGGAAAGAGCTGAGGTGGATGGTCGGTAGGGAACTGGCAGAGACTTAGGCAGGGATAGCAACGAGAGGTCCGAGGGTTCGGGAGGCGGATATGTATCCCGACCCTACCCCTACCCCCTTTTAAACCCATTAGCTACCCCACCTGTAGGTGTAACCAATCAAGGTTCCGCCCTTTACACCTGCTACCCCAGTACCCGTGATGATGTCAGCGGGCGCTGGGGGAACAATGGAAGGTACAGTCATCATCGCCGCTGACTGTCACGAGTACAACCTTTGTCTTACGGATATGCTAATGACTAAATATCTCAGTCAGCTTCCGTCTGGTTCGTGCAGTGATCGGGAACGGATAGAGATATCTCTTTACTCCGCAACGTATCTCCCTCCGCTCGTGTGCTACTTCTCCGCCTCACTGCTCCCTTGATTCAGCTTCCATCGTCACCATGCAGTCATCCCTTCTTGATCCCCTCTCGCCCACTGCTATGAACCCCAAGCTCCTCCTCCAGTCCCCTATCGACGATGATGACTCCCTCGGCTTCGAGTACGTCCACGCCAAGCCCCTCGCCACCCGGCAGCAGCGCTACAACCGCTTCATCGGCGACATGCTCGACGACGAGGTGCTCGTGGAGGCCTGCAGGAGGACGGAAGTGACGGTCGGCTTGACCCGATCCCGCTCACTGTGCGAGGATGCGAAGATCTCACTTTTCTGGAGCATGATCGTTGCATCATGACAGCGTAATGTTGTGCTACAGTATGGAGACTTGCGAATATGTGGCAGGATAGAGCATCTTTGAACAGAGCAGGGAGTGGCAGTTGGCTAGCAAACCTGTTGCTCTCAACATCCTGAAGATGGACACTGCCTCCCGAAGTTCTGTGTAAATGTGAAAAAGTGAAAGGGATCTGGGAACGAAGAATGAAGCAGCGCGAGAGAAAAAGAGAAGCTCTCGTCTATACTGCCAAAGCTTATCAGTCCACCTCGTTGGAGTATTGTAATTTGTTGCTGCTTAGCATGTCAAATCATTGTATAAATCCTGCTTGAGCATGCACTTGCTGCCCAGTGAAGGGAGTACTAAATCCTGTGGACAAGAGTGACAGTGCAGAATCAGAGCCCTAGCAGAGTGACTCGCATCAGACAAGACCTACCAAGCTAAGGGACAGCATTCAAGGCTAGGCTTAGCCTTGATCATCTACAAATTCAGGCAAAGGATCGTTTAGCCCCAAGGATATAGTGATAGTCTTTGAAATAATTTGACCCAACTAACTTGAATGTCACTGAAAGTTGAATGAAGATTCAACTTTGTCAAGACTTTGTACATGTGGTTGCCAGCCATACTCTCCCTTCATCAAAGTGCTTGGCCTTTGGTCGAGTTGGAAGTCCGTCAAGCATTGCAGTTCAACGGTTTCGAATACAGGCTGAGTGGCTCCAGTACTGCTGTCGCCCTACTGCACTGCGGCAAGACATGTTGGATGAAGTCTGCGGGGCTGGCAGCCTAGTCACTGATTGGTGGCACGGAGCCGGCTCAGCGTGCTACGGTGTGCCGCTGCGGCCGCTGTAACCGCCCCGCGTGCTAGTGTGCCGCACCGGCACAGCCCGCTTCAAGGCAAGGCTAAGTTACTTTCACTGAGCCTGATGGCAGGCCCCGGACAGGCTGGCCCACGCGGCCCCACCGCGGCCCGGCGTCACTGACCCGGACATGTTTGAGCAATGACTCAGACGGACAAGTTATCGGAACAGTCGGACGGTCAAGTTTCGACTCACATTGGAATGTTCTCGAAATATCCGATTACTGAGACTACAAGGCTGCCTGTCACGTGATCGTGACCTTGTTCATAGTTAGGGGAACACGGACCTGCGGAATCCTAAAAGTCTCGGCGAAGGGATTTCATCGCGCTGGCTCCTAGTAACGTGACGTGTATCCTTAGGACTTTTTCAAGGAACTTTACAAGACAATCACTTGAAATGGAGTGATTTCATTTGCAAGCGGTCACGAGAGCGGGTCACGAGGGCAGTGGCTTCTTCACCCGCATGATATCTAGAAGGGGATATCTACCTGACCTTGCTGGCCCGTCCTCATCCTCTCGTGCGCTCACTTCTCCTTCCACGCCTCCCTCCCCTCCCTCTCCTCCTCGCTGTTTGGTCAAATCTCCATCACTTCTTCATCCTTCCCCTTCTCCGGCTCCTCCTGATCCCATCGGCAGCATAATGTACTCCCTATCTGCGATCTCCTTCCCTCCCTCTCCCTCATCGATCTCTTCCTCGACCCCCAAGCTCCTCCTCCAGTCCCCCATAGACGATGATGACTCCCTTGACTTCGAGTACGTCCACGCCAAGCCCCTCGCCACCTCCAGGCAGCAGCATCACAACCGCTCCACCGGCGACATGCTCGACGACGAGGTCCTCATCGAGCGCTGCAGCAAGCTTCAAGGCGCGAGGTTCTCGCGCTCGCGCTCTTTGGTCGAGAGTCTACTGGAGAAGCCTCTGCTACTGGATGAGGAGGTATGCAGAAGAAACGCATGGTCGGCCAGCTTCGCATGAGAGAGGTTCTTGTTGGAGGAAGAACCGGCTCAGATGAGATTGACTTGAAGCTTGAAGGGGAACATCGCCTTGTTCCAACGGTTTTTTATCGATCTCGCCCCTTCTCGTCTGCTACATAGCATAGCATAGCATAGCATAGCATAGCATAGCGTACTTCTCATACGGAAGAGAAGAGTTTTTGTGGTTGTAATGTAATGACACGATATTCACATCATCGAGCATCTCCAGGCTCACTGCGAGCTTGGCGCATCGCTATTCTGAGCAGCGTTCTTGGCGATGCTGTTGAGGTCCTCGCGGATCGACGTTTGTTTCTTGTCTGCCAGTGTTCGTGTCAGCCACACCAGACGGGCCATCCCAACAGTCTCCATCCACCCACCCTTGAGCCCTAGGCGCTTGCCGTACTCGGAGAGATCTTCTTCATCCACATTGTACTTGGGCAGCTTCAGCCCTGTGAGACGCGAGGAGTGTCAGTGAGGCTGAGCGACGAAACAAGTCCCTGAGGTCTCACCGACGCGGCTGGACGTGTTCTCAATCCTCTGCCTAGCGCTGATACCCCTCACTAGCACAAGAAACCAAGTCATGAATCGAAACAAGTAGAAATCCTAATGTCCCAGACAGACAACCACAGATCCTCACCTGCATCTCCTCCAAACTGAGAAAGGAGAGCCTTGCGTTGCACAAGCGCATCAAGATACTGCTTGTATGCCTCAAGGTCCTGACAAGCCATGCACATGAGAAGAGGTCAACAGCTGCAAATGCTTACAAGAAAAGCTTCCTTGCTTTCTGCTTCATTCTTTCTCGCGGGTTCAACTCTCTCCTTGCAGGCATTGACAAGGAATCTTCTGTATGGTGAGATTTCGCCCTATTGTTGTCGCTCAGGATTTACACGTGAAGCTCGTATTTGAAATACCGTGGGATTCCCATTTCTTCCTTTGAAATGTTGATGAAGAATCCGAATCGTCTTCCGCAATTCATTCGATAGCTTCATCGTGTTCTGGGTAGACATCCTTGGAAACTTTCAAACCATGTTACCCTATTCGAATCTCCTCACAACTGAGATCTTGTTTTTTATGCTCTCTATCCCCGTTTGATTGCTCTACCTGTCAATCTCCATCCTCCCGGTTCATGCTGCCCCTATCTCTCATCCCCTCCCCTTTCCTCCTCTCCCCTTCTCCTCCAAGTCTCCTCATGTGCCATTCAAGATCCGCATCAGTCTCGCCCTCACTGAAATCCATTCCATGTTCTCCTTTCCTCTCACTTTCTATTTCTCTCGCGCTTTCAACCTCTTCCTCTCACTCTCTTTTCATTCACCTCTTCATCCATCTCCTCCTCTCCTATTTTTCCCTTCGGTCTTCCTTTTAAAGATAATATTGTAATGATCGATCATAGGCATGATCATTCTTACCATCTCATGATGACAGTTCCAATTTCTATCCTCCTGCTCCTGCTCCTGCTCATCCCACCATCCATCCCATCTTCTCGGAAATGACATCTCTTTCTCTCTAACTCGTTGCTGCCCGCTGCTACTGCCCCTGCCCGATGCTACTGCCCCTGCCCGCTGCTACTGCCCCTGCCCGCTGCTGGCCCTGCTGCCTGCTGGCCCTGCTGCCTCTGTCTGATGCTGTGCTCCTGCTCCTGCTCCTGCCCCTGCCCCTGCCCCTGCCCCTGCCCCTGCCCCTGCCCCTGCCCCTGCTCCTGCTCCTGCTCCTGCTCCTGCTCCTGCTCCTGCTCCTGCTCCTGCTCCTGCTCCTGCTCCTGCTCCTGCTCCCACGCGCAACACCATTTTGTTGTCGTATGAGGGGGTAGGGGTGGGTACCTAACCCCGTACTAGAAAGATATTTTTGTTATGATGATACCGGTACTCATGTTTTGTGGTCACCGCCATGGTTCGTTGGGGACCCCTACCTGCCGGATCTTGCTCTGGTTGATTCACTGATGCGATGCGATGGCCGGCGATAGCGATGCTCATGATGATCGGGGCAGCTGCTGCAGGAGGGAGGGAGGGGAGGGAAGGCGGAGGAGGAAGAGAAGCCTTGCCGACGAGCAGGGGAGACGAGATTGTTGTTTCTCATCCTCGACAAGACGAGCTGGTCGTACTGCAAGAGCACGCGAACTTTACGATCACGCTGTCAGTAGGTGGGAGATTGAAAGTTCCTCTCCATGGCTTGCTTGTTCTGCATCTCAATGAGGATCGGATAGCAATATTGTGTCCAAAACCTGCAGAGCAACTCGAAGATTGTCCGAATGGGCCAACGGAGGAGGGGGATGGAGACGTGGAAGGCAATGGTGAAAAGTGCAAGGAGTTCAGTGTTGAGGTGGGGGGTTTGAAGACAGCAGAGTATGTTCTGACGGTAGAACTTGTCGATGTCCTGGGAAATCCGATAAGAATAGCTCGACGACACTTCAACGCTCTTGTGTTGAACGAGATCGACGAGTCTTTGCCTCCTCATCCTGTTTTCAATGTCATCATCTTCTCTATGGACAGAGCTTGTCAGCTAGATCAACTTCTTAGCAGCGTGCAAGAGAGGATAGTCAACGCAAACAGCAGCATGTTCAGATGGCAGGTCTTGTACAAGTTCTCGAACAAGAAGTTCGGAGATGGCTACAGGAAAGTCAAGAAGATGTTCCCCTGGGTGAGTTTCCATCAGCAGAGCAACCTCAGCTCTTCGGTTACCTCCGCGTACTTTGACATGTTTGTTGCGGAGGGAGGCGATGCAAAATCTTTCAAGGTGATCCACTTGCTCCGCACGATGACGGCGATATGATGTCGATCGCAGGGTGACTACCTTCGACTCGTAGACGACCGATCGCCTTTCATCTTGCACTTTGTCGACGACATGGTGGTCACTGGGGTGTGGAGCGTGCAAGAGCAAGTGTTCGCATACCGCCTGCTGTCTCTCCGTCCGGATGTCCTCACGGTTTCACTGAGATGTACCTGATTGTAACATGGATGAACCTGATGCTGATTATTGCCCTCAAGTACACCCTGGGATAACCAGATGCTACGCCACCGGGTCAGACAGGACGCCGCCCCCAAGTTTCGATCCTGAGATGACGTGGAACTGGATGAACATGATGGTAAAGAACCTCTTCCTCGCTCATCCTCCTCCTCCCTCTTCTACCACCACCACCACCTCCTCCTCTTCCTTCTCTTTCTCTTCCTCCTCTACCACCACTACCTCCTCCTCCTCCTCCTCCTCCTCTACCACCACGATCTCCTGCTTCTCCTCATTTTCATCACATTTTCATCATGTCACTTTCATGCTGCAGGGGGACTGGGCATATCCCATGTCGTTGGACGCTCATATCTTTCGCACGGAAGACCACGCGCGACTCGCCATGGCGCTTCAATACATGAACCCTAACACGCTGGAGGTTTCTGAAACCTTCCCTCCCTTCCCGCCTTTCTGTCTCTCCCGTTCGATCTCTCTCTCGCCCCTCTCCTTTCTTCTCTTCCTGCCGTCCTATTTGCTCGTCTCAGTCTTTCCCCTTTTTGACCGTCTCGTTGCTCGTTTCCTGTGTGTTTGCTCCCTTCCTGTTAGTCTTCTTTGCTACTTTCGTCGTCTCCTCGCACTCTCACCCTCACTACTCTGTCGCAGGGTCAGATGGCAAGCTTCTGCTTCTCGGGTAACTCAGCTTGCCCACCGAGAATGTCCTGCTACCGAGAGGCGAAGGTAATCAACATTCCAGCCAACAGAGTGCAGGTACGAGAGGAGGACGAGCCCTGTGATGGTGAACTGACTTGTAGCGTTGATAGAATACGTTCCCCAACAGATACATGTCAGATGCCCCGAGGTAATTCCTGCTCTTTTCTCATACTTTTCTTCATGACAAAATCTCGCTGCAGCCCGGCGTTGCTCAACACCGAGTTTCTCTTCAACCGTCGACTCATCACGAAACATCTCTGGGATAAGACGTTTGATACCGTTCACGTCCCGCAGGTCTACCCTCCTGAATCCTCTACCATACTTGCTCCCTGCCCCTGCCCCTGCCCTTGCTCCTTCACTGCACTACGTCCTCTTGGACAAGTACCTGCTTCATGCGCTTCCTCGGCTCTGACTTGAGCTTCTCAGCCATTGATCTTCGCCGTCGGCAACTTGCAGCATGAAATGTCAGAGATAGTACGTGAGCCCGGCGACGACAGTGAGTAACGATGAGCTCAAGCCTTGACACTCGAATCTCTTCCCTCCATCTTTATGTACAATACACCCGAATCTCTTCTCTCTATCTTCATCCGAAAGATTTTGAAATAATCTCTCACTTCCTCTGCAGTATAGCAATGTACAAAGTCGTTAGATGTTGTATTCCAGTGGCTCGCAAGCCTAACAGAAAGTTAGCCTGAGCAAGCAGAGATCATCGTGAACAGACCAAGTCCAATGGCAGGTCGTCAAGATAGTTCCGATGAGCAGCAAGAATGTTGGTTCCCCCGTAATGTACAATCTTCCTGCATTTCACGTCAGATTTGATCTCGGCATCACCAGGAACGAGCTCTTGTACTTGTATCTCTCGACAAAGCTCTCGAACGCTTCCCTCCGCAAAGGTCGGAGATCATGGACGCAGAAGAATTCTCCCTCTAGTCCAACTCCATTCCACATGATGTCAAACACATGGAACCCTGTCGCTCCTCCTTCAGAGCGTCTCCTCGTCCTCGCACGTCAATCTCACCGTGTTGGTCGAGCATCGTCAACAGATCCATCGCTGCCTGCATCAAACATCAGCGTGCATGACAGTAATTTGATCTGCATCGACAGCATGTATACAACGCCCAGTCATCAACTTACGGTCGGTGATCCAGCATTCCCCATCTCGAGAGCGTAGGGGACGAACTCGATCTGGACCCCTCGTCACTTCCTTGCAAGCTCGGCTCAACTTCACCTTCATGTACTTCACTCGCTCCTCCTCAAAGAGTCTCGTTGCTCCTGCAGACACTCTCCCTCAACCCCCTCCTGCCCTCTCCGGGTTGCTCACCTCGAAGAGCTTGCAGCTCGTGACCGTCCGTGTCGATCTTCAAGAATACCACCATCTCATCGTTCCCGACCAAGGTATCTATCCTTGTTAGCTCTATGTTGATCGTCCGAACTGTCGTCAGGTTTGGCTCCCCGACTTCCTCCACCTTCCTCATCACTAGATGTCCACCTGTTCTCATGTCCAGTCACAGCCAACAAGTACATGTCACGGCATCACCCTTCAAGATGTGTATCACTCCCGTCCCATCAAAATCGTGCGCCCCCCCCGAGAAGACTTGCAGGTTCCAATCATTGAGATGGGCCATGTGGAACAACCTTCGGGCATGGAAGGGATGGGGCTCGATGGCGATTACTCGTGCTCCCTGTCACACCGGCAGACTTTATCAGTAGGATAGATCCTTCCTCCCCTCTCACCAGCGCTGCTGCATAGTTGCTGTGCGAACCAATGTTCGCCCCGACGTCCACAATGAGAGGAGGCATACTCTGCGCGTTCCCGACAAGCATGCGGAAGAAGTGCAGGCCTTTCCTTCCTGCAGCACAGGTCAGTGCCTGGGTTGCACGTTCGTGATCCATGCGCCACCAAGCTCATCGTAAGAGGCGCACCCTTCCTCCCCGAGTCCCTTGTCCTCCCGTCCTACAAAGGTGACGCAGTCTGCATGCCGGAGTGAGCAGGAGAAGGGAGCTAAAGCGATGGCACAGTAAGGAGGATCGGTGGCGGTCACGGTTACATTAATCGGGTAGTCTGGGACCGAGAAGTCGCCGATCCTTACTCGTCCTCGTTCGCTGGACCAGCATGTCAGGTGGAACAAGTCTGAAGCTGTCTCACCTTCTACTTCCATCATCGCCGAGAGATGTGCCCCATAGGCATAACAGCAGGATTCCGAAGAGGGATTGCTCCTTCATGTTCCCTTGCTGATAATCTCCTCTCCTCCTCCCACTCCTTGCCTTCCAGCTGCTGCTGCTGCTGCTGCTGCTGCTTCTTTCTTATCTAGCGTATCGTTCTCCCATCTTTTTCGCCTCCTCTCGCTCCCCTGCATTCGTCATCTGTCGTCATCTCGACATCTCAGCTTAGCGACCATTGATACCCTCATCTCCACTCAATCCCATCCTGAAAAGGCGGGCCCTGGCCCGGGCGGCACTCAGCCTGGGCGGTCCCGGCTGAGGCCGCGGCACTGACTCAGTGACTGATGAGGCCCTGAGGCGGCACTGCTGAGTCCGAGGCACTGGCAGTGACCGGGCCGCGTACCGTGGTGGCTGACCGCGGACGGTGGGGCGCCGGACCGGCCGGAGCGGCACACCGGGTCGGAATCCCCGAACCGAGTCGATCGTACTGAGACGCCGCTTCAGGGCTGAACTTCCCGAAGTTCCGGGCCGGGCCCGAGGAGACTACTGGCTATTAGTCCGGGACCATGACAAGATCGTCCGATCACCGGACTGATCCGAGATGATGGTCTGTCGATTTAATTGATTTAAACCCTTCCGAAGCAAAGGAACAGAATCGAAGTTCTGAGAACTTTGCCCCCTACCCCCTTAGCCCTTTAACTCCCTAGAGGCGAGGTCATAGGAGAGGGCCATAGGACTTCTACAAGGCCCCAAGGGACCTAGGGGCTGTTCTCTAGTACATGCTAGGACCAATGGTAGGTAGAAAAGGAGGGGCACCACCTGGGGTTGCATCACGATCAACTTGCTACCAAGTGAGGGGTAGAGAGATCACATGGTAGGGTGGGGGTACTTGGAATATCTTGAATGACCGTGATTATCATGCTAGAAAAGACCGGTGCATGATGCAAGTGAAGGGGTAGGGTAGGGTACATCATCACATACGGTACGGTGAATGGAACTGGAAGCGTCTGCTGGTCAAATGCAATTTATCTTTAGTACCCCACCCCCCATCTCTGCAAGAATTGATAGAGAATTATGGGGTAGTAAAACAAGATCGAATGAGTTGATGCACCCCTTCCAGGCATGGGGTAGGGGTACAAAGCTGGAGGGTAGGGGTTTATGTCAGGGGGGTGATCAGGGAGAAAGAAGGGGGTGAAACATTTATGAACAAGGGTAAGGTAAATTCGGGGTAGGGTGTAAGGTGAAATGGGGTAGGGTGGGGGTAGAAGGAGAAGAATGTTCGTCTAGATGGGGGGAGGGGATAAAAGGAAAGAGGAGGAGGGGCCACGAGCAACGAACTGCTGCGTCTTCTTGCACAACCACTAGCATCCTCTCCTCGCTTCACTAGCTCTCCCCGCTTCCTAGCGTTGCCACTGCCCCTCCTGCTCTCTTGAGATCGATTGCTTGGAACTCAAACCTTCTTTTCTTGCTCCCACAACTTTGTCTCTACCCGGTAGTCTTCGACACCAAAAAGCTCTAGGACCGCTCTTCCTCCGTCCAAATCCCACATCGCTCAAGACCCAATGCCTCCTTTCTCCAACCAGACCGCCATGGAACTTCAGGGAAGCGTCGACAGCATGGACGTCTCTGCTATGCGCAAAGAGAACAGATACGCCTATGTCACTTTGCTCACGAGAGATCCATACCTTCCCGGAGTGTGCGCCCTTTTGTACTCTCTCAAGCAAGTCAACACCAAGTATCCTGTCATCTGCGTCGTCACAAAGGACGTGACACAGAAGGCCCGCGAGGAGATCGAGCTCTTCGGAGGAGTGGTGAGGGAGGTGGAGAAGTTCCTCCCGTTCCCTGAGGACCAGGCCAACAACTATGCGAACGCTCTCTGGATTGATTGCTGGACCAAGTTGGAGTTCTGGGAGTTCACCGAGTACAAGAAGTGTGTGTACCTGGACGCTGACATGAAGGTGTACAAGAACTTGGATCACCTCTTCGAGATGGAAGGAGATTTCCTGGCTGCACAGGACTGCTACCATGGAGGCGACCCCGAGGACAGAGTGCGGAACCACTTTCATGATCCTGAGAAGTGCTTCTACTCCTCCTCATGCCCTGACAAGGTTGGTTTCCTGTGCCCTACCTGTGTGTTCTCCTGACCTCTTGGAACAGATAAGGCCTTACTTCAACGCTGGGTTCTTCGTCTTCACTCCCTCCAAGGACATAGCCAAGGACATGAAGCAGAAGGCAATCGACAAGGACGTCACAACCTTTACCTTTGCTGAGCAGGACTTCATGAACGACTACTTCCAGGTACCATGGCTCTGTCATGTTCCATGTTTGATGAAGTTGTGACATTGGCGTAGGGGCAATGGGAGCCTAGAGTTCTTCCCTACACATACAACTGCATCAAGTGGTTTGCAAGGTACCACATGGGCAAGCCCTACAACAAGGACGACATCCATGTTCTTCACTACGTGTCTGAGAAGCCCTGGGTGACTGGACGCATTGACCCTAAGGACGAGAAGGCGATCAAGTCGGGACTGTGCCACTGCGCTGTAAGTGACTCTGATTGGCTCCTCTTGCTCCCTCTCACGTTCCCCACAGGAGCAGTACGATGACTGGCATGACATGTGGGAGGAGGCCATGCAGGCCAAGGCCAACAACACTCTTGGAGGAACGATCGGAGCAGACAAGCTCGTCTCCATCCCAAAGGCTCAGCCAATGGTGACCGAGAGCGCCGTTCCTGTGGGGCGTATTGGATGAGTGTGATAACTGATAGCAACTAACTTGATTCTTGTTTTTGTTCTCGTTGATCAGTGTTGAGCTGTTTTTTTGATGTACAAGATTGTGAATACTTATTTGGCATTAAAAGGAGAAAAAGGAGCAGAAGATTCTCGTTTCCATTATTTTTCATGTACATTCACAATTTATTAGACATTGTAATACTATTCTCAAGCCAATACAATTTTTGAATACCACTTCGTGTTTCTTCTGGGTTTGCTGTTCTTCGAGTGATCAATATACATTAAAGAGTGAACCAAAACAGGTAATGAGCTCAAGCAGCACAAAAGATTAAGGTCAATTTCCAACATAGTGCTCACTTCTGTCAGTCATAATATTGCCTGATGATATTGGTCAAGATGATATTGGTCAAGTCTCAAGTTATCTAACGAAAATGCGTAGAAACAATTAGAAAAAAGAGAAAACTGATTCTAAAGAGTAGAAGCAGCTTTCTCCTTGCGCGTCTTGTCGACATCCTTCTCATATGTCCAGTACAGGAAAGAAAAACATGCAAGGGTGAGGATCCAGGGGGGGACGGAAGCTTGGAGAAGCGCTGTGGTGAGAGCATCCAGGTTGCTCACTCGCTCAGCCTTGCTGAGGTCGGAGATGGAGGTTCCCTTGGCAGGAGATCTGTAACCGTACATCTCCGCTAGGAAGCCGACGACTGGTCCTCCGAGCACCGCAGCAACAGCACCGTTCAAGCAGTTGAGCAGAGCTGAAATTCTGGCCCTGTTGTTGGGAGTGACTACCTCCAAGAGCACAACCTGGTTGCAAGCAACTCCCGCCCATGTCGCCGTGAGACCAAACAGAATGTTGAGCCAGGCGTAGGCCGAGAACGAGTCCGGGGTCTTGGGAACCTTGATGAAGATCCAAGAGATGAGAACGAGTCCGCTAAGGATCGAGACTTGAGCAGCAAGTGGACGACCGCGGAATGGCGACCAAGACCTGGCAAGTACGTCTCCAACGATCCCTCCGACTATTCCTCCTACTCCGCTGGCAAAGATCTGCATGGTGATGAGAACTCCGGACGCGGCATTGGACATTCCGATGTATTGGAACCACATGGTCAGGAAGGACATTGCAGTCCATGGAATGCATCCAAACATTCCCTGTACAAGGATCACAAGGAACGAAGGGATTGTGAAGTATGAGAACAGGAGCGTGAACTCCTTCCGAATCTCTGAGATGGCCCCTTGTGCCGACGTCGAGCTCTCATTCTCTTGCTCCTCGTTTCGGAATTCTGCCATGAAGAAAACAACGGCGACAGCCACGAGGATCGAAAGGCCCCCAACCCCGATGAAGGACGCCTGCCACCCATGGAGGTGGATGCTGCCCAACGAGAGCCTCTCCTCGGAGAAGCTCGTCAGCACTGTCGCACAGATCCCCTGCCCTAGAGCCATGCTGAACTGGAGCAGACCGAACACAAGGCCGACCTGCTCAGGCTCCGTGATGTCTGCCACGAGAGACTGCGCTACTGGTCCCAAGGACGCAAGGGCTACTCCGTTGAGGCATCGGAGCAGGAGGATGATGTGAAGTTGTCCGATGCACCCCAACAGGATGGCAATGAGACCCCAACCCATGCATCCTGCCACGAGCACAAACTTCCTTGACATCCCTCGGTCTACCAACGATGCCCAGACAGGGCCAGCAATGGACTGAAAGAACGCCTGAGCCATCGCAATCATTCCTAGCGATGCTGGAGTGAGTCCAAGGTTCGACTCGAGGACCTTGAACGAGGAAGGGAGGAGTTGGTTGCAAAGTCCCTGGATAGCTGTGACAAGGTAGAGCAAGCCTCGTGCAGCCCTGGCAGAACCTCCCCGTCGCTTCTGTAGAGCAGAGGCTTCTTTCATCTCCATTGCCTTGCTGGTAGAAGATGTCATCTTGTGACTTCCGTTTCCTTCTTCTTCTTCTTCTTCTTCTTCTTCTTCTTCTCTCTCTCTCTCTCTCTCTCTCTCTCTCTCTCTCTCTCTCTCTCTCTCTCTCTCTCTCTCTCTCTCTCTCTCTCTCTCTCTCTCTCTCTCTCTCCGACAGTCCGAATTTCTGGAACACCCCTGACCCCCTCGCTTAATCCTACCCCACCCCTCTAATTGACTCATACGAAGACCTAAAGGGTACCGGTCATGGAGACAGAAAGACTCGATCATGGACACAGAAAGGGAGGGTACGATATCACGTCACCGTGACTGTCAGCTAGTACGATGTCCCTCATGCTGCGGGCGCATCGCAAGCACGTGATGGTGGGGGTGCTGGTCAGCTTCATGAGCATGAGCGGGACTTCCTCCTCCTCTGCATCATCATCATCATCATCTTTCTCTCCAACAGCTTCTTCGCCTTCATCATCCTCCTCTTCTTTTCCTTCTCTTTCGCAACAACGTCAGTCAATATTCAATCCTCAGAAGTTTTCTGGACACCAGATAAGGATGGATAGATCGCTCAAAACCAGTCTGTTGCTCAGATCATTCAGCGGATACTCTGACAGAGTGAGAGGAGGTCGTGCACAAGAAGAGCTGGACGACGAGGAGGAGAGTTCAGAGAAAGAGCACGGGGCATGGCAGCAGCAAGAAGATAAGAATTTAAATTATTTCAAGGAAGTAAAAGAGAGTTTCTCGTTCCCGTCCATGGAGGAAGAAGTATTGAAGGTGAGCAATGTCTTGTACCTCTTTCATGCTTCTCCGATGAATCTTCCTTCAGTTCTGGGAGGACATCGATGCGTTCAACCTGAGCTTGCAGAAAGCCAGAGAGAGTAATGATGAAAGGTGGGTGTTCTTCGACGGGCCCCCGTTCGCTACAGGGATGCCGCACTACGGCCACATCCTGGCTGGAACGATCAAGGACATCGTCACTCGCTTCTGGTCGCAAAATGGCAAACTCGTGGAGAGGAAATGGGGATGGGACTGCCATGGACTTCCGATAGAGCATGAGATCGAGAAAAGTTTGGGGCTCAAGTCCAGGTGTGAGATATTGGAGATGGGCATCCCAAAGTTCAATCAAGAGTGCCGCAAAGTTGTGATGAGATACTCGCAAGAGTGGAAGCGAATCGTGAAGCGACTTGCGAGGTGGATCGATATGGAGAATGACTACAAGACTTTGGATTTCAAGTACATGGAGAGTGTGTGGTGGGCGTGCAAGGAGCTGTTCAAGAAGGGTCTGATCTATCGAGGCTTCAAAGTCATGCCTTATTCCACGGGGTGTGGCACATCGTTGTCTAACTTTGAAGCAAACCTCAACTACAAAGATATCACTGACCCTGCAGTGGTGGTGAGATTTGCGAAAATTCTTGTTGCTTGCTCGCCTGCTCAATTCCTTGCTGGTTCTGACATTCTTCGATCATGAATTTAGGTAAGTTTTCCTCTGATGGATGACACGGATGTATCTCTATTGATATGGACGACTACCCCATGGACACTTCCATTCAATCTCGCAATCTGTGCAAACCCTGACCTGGAGTATGTGGAGATTGAAGACAAGAAGATGAAGAACAGGTTGTTGATGAGTATCCTTACAATGGTAACGAGACAACAGGTACATTCTTGCAAAATCAAGACTCGCACAGCTGTATGGGAAGGTATGATAGCTTGTGTTTTGATCAATGATTTGAAGTATTCAAAACAGCAAGTTGAAAACTCCTGTAAAATCCTAAGGAGCTTTCCCGGCAAAGAGCTTGAGGTAGCAACACAATAATGGCTTGCTGCATTTACATCTTTCTTCCGCCCCGTCTGCTTTCTGCTGCCTGTCCTTCTGAAGTTTTAACAGGGCAAAGAATATATTCCAGCATTTGAGTGCATGAGGGAAGTAAGTTGTATGAAAATTCGGAGTATTTTCAACTGAGCCTTTTGCAGTCATTCAAATCATCGGGATTTCGTGTTGTCACGGACACGTTTGTGAGCTCTGACAGCGGAACAGGACTTGTGCATACTGCTCCAGGTAAAATTCTTTCACCCTCAGTGTAGATTAGCTGGACGATGATGAGGCTGGGAAGAAATAATGTTTGATGTAGGTTTCGGTGAAGATGATTTTCGAGTTTGTCTGGAGAAAGGGGTCGTGTCCAAGAGCGACACATCGATCTGCCCTGTAGATGACGATGGGAGGTGAGCAGCGGAAGTCTCGAGGTGGTCTCAGTTTCGAATATTTATCTTGGATGTGACGTTCAGATACACTGCGGTGATGGAGACGTTTCAAGGTCGATTTGTCAAAGATTGCGACAAAGATATCATTCAGCATCTCAGGTTGCCTTCTTGCACTGTTTGCAAGCACTCCGTGATCATGTTTCTCAAGGGATGCGGGGAGACTGGTTCAAACCAACTCGATTGTGCACTCTTATCCATTTTGTTGGCGATCAGATACACCGCTGATTTACAAGGTTTGCAAATGAAATGTAAGTGTCCCTCTGAATTCATCTTCAGGCTGTACCGAACTGGTTCGTCAATGTTGAGTAAGTTTACATTTGACTACTAGGCACATGCCATGTTTCATATCTATTTATGTTCATACTTCATTTAGATGACCATATTTCATTTATTTCAACACGTTGTGTGTGTGTCCTGTATCATACCATGCTTCATATGAATAACATCGTTTCCGCGAGATTGGGTTTGTAATGACGCTATAGATCCATCAAAGACAAGCTGTTGGCAAACAATGCCAAGACAGAATGGGTTCCATCGTTTGTAAAAGAGAAGAGATTTCATAACTGGTATTTCCTACGTAATCCACTCAACCTGCTAAATTCCAATCCTGCCATTCCTTCTCTCTGTTCTGCTGAAGTTTCTTCTCAAAGTTCTCACAATTCAACTGCTCCTGCTCCTGCATCTTATTCTTCCTCTTGTTCCAAATGCCCAGGCTTGAAGCAGCTCGTGATTGGGCCATCTCAAGAAACAGATTCTGGGGGACTCCCTTACCCATCTGGTATTCGTCTTTCTCTCCTGTTGTCTACCTTTCTCTGATCTGCTCTCCCTCTCTTTCACCCCCTGAGGATTGAGGGTCGCGCAGGCACAGCGAGGACTGGGAAGAAATTGTGTGTGTAGGGTCAGCCGAGGAACTTCAACGGCTGTCAAACGTGTCCCTGTCTGACCTCCACAGAGAGTTCGTGGATGAAGTCACTATCCCTTCATCTCGTCCAGGACAGGTAGGAGGAGGGCGGGGAGGAGGAGGCGAAGGGAAAGGAGGAGCAAGGGGGGAGGGGGAGGGGGCTGATAAAGTTGACGACGCACAACAGGCACCTCTAAGGAGAGTGTCTGAAGTGTTTGACTGCTGGTTTGAAAGTGGTTGCATGCCGTATGGACAACTACACTACCCGTTTGAGAACGTTGAGGTACCAGGAGGAGCAATCAGAGTTTCATCTTGAACTTGTTGTCAAGCTCTTTGAACAAACCTTTCCTGCCGACTTCATTGCTGAAGGATTGGACCAAACACGCGGATGGTTCTACACGCTCATGGTGTTGAGGTGTGTGCAATGTGATTCGGAAGATATTTTGCGTTGGATGATGGTGGGGGAAGCGATGAGGAGAAATGAGACGTGTTGACATGCTGTTGGAGATTTCGTAGAGCCATGAGATGACATTGGGAATCGCAAGGATGTTGATTGAGTTGAAATATACTAGAGAGATTTTGATGAACGTGGCATGACGTTTATATCGGCAGTACCGCACTATTTGACAAGCCAGCCTTCAAGAACGTCATTGTCAATGGACTTGTGCTTGCAGCAGATGGGAAGAAAATGAGCAAAAGGTGGGAAGAAAGCATTATTTGATGTTGGGCATGTATGGAAGGCTCCAAGCAAAAGATAGTTTCGAATGAGGAGGCAGTCCAGATGCTTATGATTGATTGGATTCTGCAGATTGAAAAACTATCCTGATCCTGAAGATGTTATCAACAAATATGGCGCCGATGCTCTCAGATTGTATCTGATCAATTCTCCGGTTGTACGATCAGGTGAGAGCGAAACAAGTCAAGAGGGGGAAGACGTTGAAGGTTCGAACAGAGTCGCTCAAGTTCAAAGAGGAAGGAGTGAGAGATATCATCAAAGATGTCTTTCTGCCATGGTACAATGCATACAGGTGAAGGAGATTGGATCAAGATTATGTTTGCGATAATTGTACATGAGATGAGGATGATGATGATGACGACGACGACAAAAAGAGTTCTGTGTTTGTTGAATCGCTTTTCAGATTTCTTGTTCAACAAGCCCGAGCAACATATCACAAGACTCAACAAAAGATTCATGTCTCGCATCAAGAATACGTTGAGAGCAGGTCTTGTTGTTCCTATCACACTCTGTCTGCTGACTTGCTTCAACAGCAATGTTATGGACAAGTGGATTCAATCAACCTGCAATTCTCTTGTTGCTTTTGTCACAGAGGTGATAATAGAAAAATGAGGATGAAGGGAGGAGGGAGAGGCGAATTTTACCATCACGATGATTCTTTTTTCGTATTGTCTGCACCCAGGAAATGAAAGCTTACAGACTGTATAATGTCGTATCAAGGCTTCTTCTTTTTGTTGAAGATCTTACAAACTGGTGAGTTTCCATTGCTCATTTTTAAGTGAATCAACAGTCGTTTGTCAGGTATGTTCGCATGAATCGTAACAGAATCAAAGGGGCTGGAAACGATGCACAAGATTGTCTGATTGCACAATCAACTTTGTTCAAGGTCAATCGTTTTGATCTTGTCTCCTCGTGGTTAAGTTTTCCTTCAGGTCTTGTCAACATTTACACAACTCATGGCACCATTCACCCCTTACATATCTGAACATGTTTGCAACATCTTTCACCATCAAAGTTTCTCATGAGCTTTCAGATCTATCAAAACTTGAAGAGTGCCATGTCAGAAGAGGTTCGATTGCAGAGCATTCACTTTTCGCGGTATCCACAAACCACGAGTGGAGCAGAAAACAAGGTGAGACAAGAAGAACAAACATGCTGCTTGGCTTATTTCTGCATTCCTCCATCGAGTTGTGTTCAACTTGTTGATAAGAATGGGACTGACTCGATCATCAAGACTTTGGAAACGAGCATTTTGTACATGCAGAAGATTATCATTGCTGGCCGGACAGTGAGAGACAAACGTCAGGTGGAGCAGCTTACTCCTTGTTTGCTCGCTGAACTGAGCTTGCAGATAAGTTTGAAGACTCCTCTTCGCTCCGCGCACGTCTGTCTCCTCCTCCATCAGTTCCGTCTGACATGTTGCAGTTGATTGTAGCCGACCAAGAGCAGGAGACATTCGTAGCTCCTCTCAAGAGGTCGAAAGGAGGAGGGAGGAGGAGGAGGAGGAGGGAACAAGATTGCAGTAACGCCCTAGCTCAGTTACATCCTGTCGGAACTCAACTTGCGTGATCTTACGATCAGTCGGGAGGATGATGACAAGACCTGTCTTAAGGGTGAGGGAGCATGCCAGTGGTGTTGGGTCATTTCGCTCTTCAGCCCTGCCCGACTCGAAGGTCCTGGGGAAGCGACTTGGCAGCAAGTTCCGTCAAGTAGCAGAAGCGATCAAGTCGATGAAGTCGGAGGAGGTGAGAGAGAAAGAAAACATGGGAGGGAGCGAGGGAGCAAGGAGGAGAAAGAGGACAATGCTGGATTATGTCAAAGAGGAAGCAGGCGGAAGAGGGAGGGAGGGAGATGGGAGATGGGAGGAGAAGAGAGGATGCAGGAGGTAGCATGGAGAGGGAACATGACAGTGATCTGACCATGGCGATCAGCTTATGAGACTGAAGAGGGAGCAAAAGATTGAAGTCTGCGGTGAGACGATCATGCTGGAGGAAGTGAAAATCTTTCGCGAATTCGTGGGGAAGGAGAACAAGTTTGAGGTGAAGACAACAACCGGCCGCTCCCGTGCTCAGCTGTTGCTGCCAGGCTTCGAGTGTGGAGGAGATGGAAGGCTGTCTGATCATCGTTGATGTGATCATCATCTCTCCTCTTCTTCCTTCCTTCTCTTAGTGCTGCCCTGTTCCTCCTCATGTCATCCCTTTCCTTCTCTCTCTCTGTCATCGCTCTAGTCCCATCACCCCATGTCCTCATCCTTCTCCCCTTCACCCTTCATATTCCTCCTCCTCCTTCCCTCTTGCCTCGTCCTCGTCCTCGTCCTCGTCCTCGTCCTTCTCCTTGCTACCTCCCTCCACATGCCTTTCCGCCTAAAGTTTCCTTCAGACGACGGTTGACGAAGAAGCGCTCGAAGAATCGTTTGCAAGGAATTTCATATGTCACGTTCAGAAGCTCAAAAAAACTTCACAAGTAAGCAGCTGCTAACAAAGTTCTCTGCTCCTCACTCGAGGAAAGTTGTAGCAACATGATTCGCTCACTCAATATCTTCCGCTTCCTCTTACTCTCTTGACAGGTTGTTCCTGGAGACTCAATCTCCGTCGGGTTTGAGATCCTTGAAGGCGACGCAGAGGTCCCTTCCTTCCTCCTTCCTCCTTCCTTCCTCCCCTCCTCAGTCTCGCTTCTCCTCTAGCTGCTTCTCCCCTCCTCCTTCCTTTAGTTTGTATCTCGTGCTGCCTTTCAGTCACTATTCGAATCCTTCGCTTCCCACTCCTCTTAGCTTCGAGCAGACAACCAGCAGCGTGTTGCAGCTGCTCGACAGGCGGGAGGAAACGATCACTGCGGGGGTAGGGAGCAAACTCTACGACTTGAAGTCCACGGAGATGCAGGGAGAACAAGTATACCCTCCCTTCATCGTCCCACACCACTAATGCCACTGTGTCCTCCTCCTCCTCCTCCTCCTGATCCTGATCCTGCTCCTCCAACTCACTTTCACGCTCAGGCCGGGTCTACTGAGGAGACTCTAAGGTACTAAGCGCGCGAGCTCTTCTTGTCCGTGACTGGCTGGCAGCTTGAGCAAGGGCTCGATCCGCGTCCGGCTGGTGATAAACCGACTTTCCTCCCTCGAAATGTGAGGGGCAGAGGACGAGGAAAACAGCAAGTGAGAGGACAAGGACGTGGGTGAAGGATGGTTGGAAGGTAGAAGAGGAGGAAGGGAGGAGCAGGAGCAAGGCGAGAGGAGTTAGCCAAGGAGAGAGGACGAGGACGAGGACGAGGACGAGGACGAGGAGGAAGGAGATTAAACAAGCAGAGCTGTTGTTTGTTGTCTTCATTGTGCAGAAGCTTCTTGTTGGAGCGATACGGAGAGCCCACGAGCCAACGCCAGCCGGATCGACTCCATTCGCATCCTCTCGGCCTCACTGCGTTTCCTCCTGCGTCTTCGTCACTGTCGATAGCACAGAGGAGGAGGAGGAGGCACCTGTCGGCCTTGAACGACGACTCGACGTCCTGCAGCGCCTGCATCCTGGTCAACCCGGAGGAGGAGGGAGGGAGGCTAAGAGACCTGGAGGCAAAGAAACATGTCGGAGGAGGAGAAGAGCGATGGTATGCCGCTCTCGATGAGGGGGATGGAGTAGGACAGCAGCTCAGGCCAGAATCGTCTGCTCCCCCCTTGTCACCACCAGCAGAAAACTCTCGTCATCCCCAGCAGGGACCCTTCACTCACCTCGGAGCTGCTCGTCGCGTTTCCCCTCCCCGGCTTTCGTCCAGCAGCTCCAGCAGCAACTTCGCGGCCTCCCTTCCTGCCTGCACCAGCGTCGCCCCGCTCGGGTTCTTCGCGCTCTGAGATTGAGGTTTACAGCACGAACGGCAGGAAGAGGAACAGATGAAGGAAGGGCAGGGCTAGAAGACGCGGATGGTGATAAGGAGGGGAAGGTCGAGTAAGGAAGAGAAGGAGGAGGGTGGAGGGTGGAGGAGGAGGGGGAAGTATGAGGGAGGAGGGAGGAGGGAGGAGGAGGAAGGAGGAAGGGGGAGGAAGGAGGAGTGTTCTAACCCGCAGGCTCTGCCTGTCTTTGAGGCTCAGGTCGCTGACTGTCGCCATCAGTTCTCTCATCCTCGAGTAAGTCCTGATGAGCTGAACTTCGCTGGGAATGTCTTCTCCTCTTGTCTCCTCCACATACTGCAACAGCGTCAAACATCTCCCACATGCACTACTACCCTCCCTCTCTTCTCCCTCTCTTCTCCCTCTCTTCTCCCTCTCTTTTCTCCGTCCTCTCCCTCTTCTCTTTCCCGGTGCTCTCGTTCACCTGTAGGATTGGCTGCATGCGGTACAGGCTGTCATCAACACCCTGCACGAAGGAATGCAAACTCTGACACATTGACGTCAAAATCGTCTCAGCCCTCACTTCCTGCCCACTACGCCTCCCTCTTCCCTCCTCTTTCCCTCTCTTCCTCCCCCCCCGCTTCCTTCTTCAATCCTCCTTTCCCCCTCCTCTTCTGATCTTCCTCCTTCCTCCTCTCTTCTTCTTCCATCTCCTGCTCTCTCCCTCCCTCTGTTTCTTCATCTGCCTCACCTGGCTCGCGAGGGTGGCGACAAGCTTGGACTCAGCACGAGCGAGCCAGTACAAACTCGCTGCCTCGTGGCCCCTCGCGTAGAGTCTCAACCCCCACGCACATTGAATCTCACTTGCCGTCTTGACGATCAACTGAGCGAGAGATCAGGCACAAGGAACAAGTGGGGATGAGCAAGCAAGACGAGAGGAGAGAAGAGAAGAGCCGAGAAAGGAAGGGAAGGGGTGGGTCAAGGGAAGGTGAGGGGAAGGCAGGGGAAGGGGAAGGGAAGGTGAGGGGAAGGGAAGGGAATATCAGGGAACAAGTCTGACGTCACCTCTGAATCATCCCATAGATGGCTCCCATGAATGTCTCGCACGTACTCCGGGCAGCATTGCAGCAGATGCCGGCATTTGATGTCACTATCGATGTGCTGACGAGAGATGATGAGGTGGGCGAGGTGGAGCATCTCCTGCCTTCGCACCCTCCATCGTTCTCTCGCTTCCACTGAAGTTGACTCGTCAACCATCGCATCGCTCTCCACCACTCCCTTCACGTATGCCATGGCAACTTGCCACATGTTGTTTGACGACATCAGGATATCGATGTAGTTGCAGATGGCGTAAGTTCTCATGTTGGAGGCAAACAACTGACTGAACGGAAGGTATTTCCCTCGATACAAGACATCGGCAAGGTGGGCCGAACTCCACCAGTCCTTCAAGTCTGTAAAGAAGTGCTGTACTGCACCTTGCATGTCCAGACGAAGTAGATCTTTGATCACTGACTCCTCGTCTTCCGGTTTTCGAACAAACTGCCCGTGGACAGTCAACGCGTCGTCGGCATACGATGCCAAGTCTGCAACTCCGAGAACAGTCTCAGACCTTCCAAACAACATCCTCGTCACCACGATCTGCAACCAGCTGTATGCGTGCGCAGAGATCTCATCTTCGCTCCCCTTCATGATCTTCACCATCGTCGCCATCTTCTGGCAGATAGGAGATGCTCCTCTCTGCACCAGTTTGTCGAGGTAAGTCCATTCCTTCCTTGTCGTCCAGACTCGCCAGTACGAGTCAATGGCAACGTTGTTATCAACCATGTTCTCAAGCTCGAAGAGCGAGACCTCTCCACCTTCCCCTCCTCCGACAAGCAGCGAGAGCATAACCTCCACCATCTCCACTCCATCCTCTCCACACTGATGGGCGAACGGGCCATCCCTACCGATGAGCGACAACATCTCCACGGCCTGATCGATGTACACGTGCATAACGAAATGAAACAGAGCTCGCCACCAGTCATCGTTTGCCCTGTATGAGGCTCCGTCTGTAAGGAAGGGCTGAGACGACCCTCCTTGGAAGAGATCCGACGGGTTGTGCTCCTGCATCCAGTGCACCAGGTCGAAGGGAAGATCAGCATTCATGTTGGCTGGTCGCGGAGAAAGATGTTTGATGATAATGTGTGCAAGGTGCCAGGCCTGATGCCCGCGGTAGAGCCGGGACAGCATGTCTTTCGCCAGAGCCGCGTCACCTTCTTGGAGGTTCTCAACGTTCTCCACCATGCGGGTGAGGAGGGTGCAGTAGAGCTCCTTGTACTCGTTGATTTCATCGGCCAGCAGCATCCGCCTCGCATCCAAGTTCGCGTCATTCATCCCCACCGAGAGAGCTCTGGAGATGCTCTGTGACCAGACATTCTGCGCCTCTGAGTAGAACATCTGCAATGGCGCCTGCACGAAGTTGCGATTCTTCCACAGGCTCCATGGCAGGTTGAGTCTGATCCAACTGAGATCCGCTCCTCTCGAGACAGCCCTCCTCCGTTCATCGGGGGAAGCAGTCTCGCTGACGCCCTGAGGAATTTGACCCGATGTCACCACCAGATCATCGCCTGGCCCCCATGAGAAGAGGGTGACCTTCGCCATCCTCCCAGTGCCGCTCAACCTGCAAACGTTTCGTTCGTATGAGTCCTTGCACTGCAGTTGTTACACATGACCGACAACCACTACGTAACATTCAAGCATCAACATTAGCATTGACCTCCCTGAATCCTTCTAAGTGTTCATATCAAGGTTGATTCTTCTTCATCCTTGCCCTAGCTATCCAGCCCACGCACTACCTCGCTCATCCAAGTTAATCCATCGATTCCACCATCTCATTTCATTCGACCATCACTTGCATTCATGCCCCTACTTCTTCCCATTGATGAGATGTCACTCTCCTGCTTGCTTGCCTATCTCTCTCTCCTGATCATCATCATCATCATCATCATCATCATCATCATCATCATCATCATTCTCCTCCTCCTCTCCCTCCCTCCCTCCCTCCCTCCCTCCCTCCCTCCCTCTGCTCTTCCCCTTTCTCTCCCCCTTCCGCCTCGCGTGCCGCCGCCATGATCCTTCTCCCTCGTTACAGCCGTTATCCTACCGTTCCAAACGTTACGATCTCACCTCATCCCCCCTCATTCCTGTTGTTCCCGCCAAATCAGATGGATGAACGACAAATCAACAGTTTTACAAGACTCAATCTTTCTTACATATGACCCGTTCATCTTCCTTGGAGATGTAAATTTTTATTGGTAGGGTACTCCATCGTTCCGCCAGCTCAGAGGGGCTAAGGGACATGGCGCGGAGGAAACAACGGTAAGGGCGAAGATAATTGCAGGAGGCAGAGGAGAGGAGAGCAGAGGAGAAGAGATGGACAGAGTTGTCATGACAGAAGAAGACAAGGCACATGTATCAATCTGATTGATTCGTTTTCAGGAGCCATACACTGTGATACAAGTTTCTCTCATCCGGATTCACTCAAATTTCTGACGGATCTATAAGAGAAAGATGGCGGAAGACCCGGCGCAATCCGTTCTTGAAGGCATGCCTCCATCCTCCAAGGACTTGGGGCTGCAGTTGCAGGATCTTGACTACCTCTTGCGTGTTTACAGCACACTCAGGACTTTCAGCTTCCTTCTTCGACTCGCGCCATTCACCTTATTGGAGCTCTGCACAGACATCCTTCCGAGCAAGTCAAGCCCTATGATAGATGAGATCTGTGTGCAGCTTCTCAAGACCATCCAATGCTTCCCTCCTGTCAGTGAAGAAAATGCCGAGGAGGAGCTGGTGGTGTTCAAGGAGGACGCGGAGCCCTACCTCATTTCCAGAGACATTGACAAGCTCATCAAGGACCCGATCTGGAAGTATCTTGATTTCATGTCATGGCCAGAGTTTCTGAAGAGGCTGATGGTTGCTCGCAAGTGTCGGGTGTTTGCAGGGATAGACTGTTGTGAATTCCTTGAGGAGCAGGAATGGTGCAAGTTGCCGCTGGGGTCAAAGATAGCGACCTTGCAGTTCCTCTGCGACTGCTTGCTGGATGCTCCGATTGCAAAGTCCTTGATTGACGGGAGGGATGAACAGATCCCGATGTGCATGGAACAGGAGAAGGAGGAGGTCAAGGCGAGGGAGAAGGGCTTGCTTGCCAAGGCTGCGAATGACAACCTGGTGGCTGCTGCTGCGGGAGCCTCTCACCAGGGGCTTCCAAACTACTCGCACCTACCATATGACAACAGCCACTTGTATGTTCGTGATGGCCTCGATGAGCTCGAGATAGATCAGTGCGATCTGTCCACACTCGGAGGAACTTTGATCTGTTGTGATGGTTGCCCGGCCTCCTACCTCAGCCGCTGCGTTGGGCTCAAGAGAGTCGGGGACGAGAAGCAGAAGTGGTTCTGTGAAGAATGCCGCATCGGGGGACAGATCAGAGCATACCGATTCCTTCATAGGCAGGCGAATGCCATGGAATGGGAGCATTTGCCACTGATAGCTGACTTCGGCAAGGGAAAACACGGCATCGAGGTTGTGTTTTGTCATGGGCGACTTTACCTTTTCAAAGACAAACAGCTTATGGCATACTACAGTGAGCACAGTCAAGTAGAGCTCTTGATCCAATGGTTAGAACAACTCGAACAGAAAGTTAACGTCACAGAACAGCAGGGAACCTCCGCCAAGTCCTCTGAGAAACAGGAGAAAGGAGATGGAAAGGCGAACGGAACAAACTCGGTCGACGATCGGGTCAGCACACCCTCCAAAGAGACTCAAGAAGGAGACGCGCCGAGATCGCTCAGGCGCAGAAAGCTCGCAGACAAACGGGAGGATGAAGCTGCAGATTCTCCCAAGGACAAGAAGACGAGTACCCCCGGGAAAGAGGCAGAGAAGGAAGAATTGTCACGATCCCTCCGGCGAAGGAAGAAAGCTAATGGCGATGGAGAGGACGGTGCCGCAACTCCTGACACTCGCACACCGTCCAAGGAGACAGAACAAGCGGAGAGCGCCAGATCGCGCAGAAGGAGGAAGCTTGCTTACGTGGAGGATGACAACGGTCCTGCAGGTGCTCCTGTCGAGAAAGGTGAAGGCAGTCAAATCGAAGATGAACACGAAGAAGAAGGTGCAAGGTCCCTTCGTAGGAGGAAGGTTGCTTCCTATCGTGAGGAGGAGGAGGATGGCGCCGGAGCTCAGAATGAGAAAGATTCGGAAGCTGGGGACATGGCGCGGACACGAAGAAACAGGAAGCTGGCGTACAACCAAGATGATGATGGAGATGTGGAATTTGAAATCAAGGAGAACAGGAGCACAGCGGAACTCGAGGACTCACAGGATGGGGAGATGGTAAAATCAAACAAAAGAAGCGAAAGAGTGCACTGCTGAGGGCCTTGACAAACAAGAGCAACGCCATTGTAGATGAAATGAAGTTTTGTCGAGCAGTGGAAACAAAGATGAAGAACAGAGAATACCTGAACAAGTACAAGGACTCGCCCTCCATCCATGAAGTTCGCGCGATCTACAAGCCCTCCAAGATGAACAAGAGGCTAGTTGAGAACGCAATCACATCCAAGTGGAAGGGTTGGCCCCGCTACAATGATACCAACTTGGCGTCAGCGTCGAATCTGCACATCTTGGCTACTTACCTCACGAGGCTCGAGAAAGACCTGCAGGGGCTCGCCAACGGCCCGTGGGTCACTCGCACTGGTAGGAGAGATTGGATTGAGCAGGTGAGAAACGCCATGGAGCCCAAGGATGTAGCGAATGCTGTGGTTGAGTTTGAAAGCTGCCTGCAATCCCTCGTGTTTTTGCCCAGCTGGTTTTCGTCGGACTCCCCTGATGCGAAGCCGAGGAGGTGAGAAACTTGTGCTGTTGTGTTCTCGTAGCCCTGAACCTTTTACAGCAGGCGAGGTCGCAAGAAGAAGTCAGAGAGCAGAAACGAAGTCGACTACGACGAGCTGATGAGAGCTGGTGTCTTGGACGATCCCTCTGGAGCTTTCAAGGAGGAGGAGGAGGAGGAGGAGGAGGTGCTCCTCAACTGCTGGGTAGGTGGGAAACGAGCGGCCCCGCTGCACATCAAGTTATCATCGCGAAGCCTGAGGAAAGTCATCCTGAACTCTGCGGCCGATCAGTTCAACAACATGATCTACACAGGAGACCATGCGGTCCCCAGCACAAGATTCAAGTGGATCCGTCGTTGTGTCTCTGCTAAGACAGTCCACTTGCTGTCGATCTACCTCCGCATGCTCGACGACTTCATCAAGTGGGATGGTCTCAAGAGGCCACCAGTTCCTACCAACGGGAAGCTTTACGACGCTCAAGGGCAGCCGCTCCTGGAGAAGCTGATCAACAAGAGAGATCAGCATGGCCTGCAGTATCTCATGCAGTTCTGGAACAACGTCGAGAGGCCCCAGTGGACGTCGCCGGACAGCATCCCGCTGTGGGCGATCAAAGACTACGAGAACCATGTGAGGAAGGAGAACAAGATCTTCTGGTGGAAGGAGTTCGACTTTCATCCTGGAGCTTTCATCGAGGTTGAAGTTGATGGCTACTGGTACCAGGCGTTCGTCCTCAAGTGCATCAACTCGCGGGAGGAAGTGGAGGAGTGGGAGTTTGACCCGGCGCTATTCAATGACAAGGTCGGGATGGTGCTGGTGCACTACATCAGTGGGCGTGATGATGAAGATGAATGGATCCCCAAGGACAGCGTGAGGCTGCGAGAGGACAAGCTGGCAGAGAGGAGGTGCATTCAAGAGCGACTGAAGAGAGAGCACGAGCAGCGAAGGCTAGCGCAGATCATCGATGCTGAGAAGAGAGCCGCGGCAAGAAGTGAATACATCCAGGCCAGGAAGAAGATGCGAGAGCATGAGAAGGCACTCAGAGCGGACAGGGAGAGGGAGAGGATGGCTGAGCGAGAGAGAAAGCTCAAGGCCAAGGCGGAGAAGATGAAACAGCGCGAGTTCGAGAAAGAAGAGAAGATAAAGATGAAGGAGCGGGAGAAGCAAGAGAGGATTGAGAGGAGGCAGCGGGAGCAGGAGATCAAGAAGATGGAGATGAAGAAGGCCAAAGAGCTGGAGCGTGAGCGGCAGCGTATCTTCCAGAGCAAGTCGAGCTGGTGGAAGGAGTTCGAATTCAAGGAGGGTGCCATGGTCGAAATGCAGTGGGACGGGGACTGGTGGGATGCCGTTATCATTCGCTGCATCGGGTGCCCCAACAACACGGCAGGAGATCAGGAGGGTCAGGCAACGCAACCAACTCCTTCTGCTCCCCCTCAAGCCAAACCGGCTGTCGAGCCAGTTGTCGAGCCCGTTGTTGCCCCCGTTGTTGCGCCAGTTGTTCCACCCGTTGTCGAGCCGAATGTCATCGCAGGAGGAGAAGTTGCCATTCTGCCACCACTTGAAGGGTTTGATCCCTCCATGCTTTCTCCTCCTCCCCCTCCCCCCGGCTCGACAACGGGTGGAACAACGAAGAGCTGTCCCGCAGCAGGCAGGGGGAAGTTCTCAGCAGGTATGGACGGCAGACGGTGAAGGAGAAGCTCAGCAGAGCATGCGAGAGCGCAAGTCAGGCAACGAGAACTCCCTCGAGTCCCTCCTCCCCTACACGGTCCCGCTCATGCAAGGGCCCAAGTTCCGCTACCCCGACGACTGGCCGGAGGACGGAGTCTACATCTGTGCTGAGGACGATCGGCCCATCGACGTGGCCCGGCTGCATCGGGTCAATGTGGACCGACTGGTGCGGATGAACAAGAAGAGGTACTCCGGGTTGACCCGGGTCAGCCCCCTCAAGGCTGGAACCTCCTTGGAGCTGCCGCTGCCCCTGGATATCATCATCGAAGACGATCCTCCTCCCCCAAAGGACCCTTGCAAGGTCGGGGTTGTGCTGGTGCACTACGTGGGAGGAGGGGAGGACGAGACTGAGTGGGTCTTCACGTGCAGCAAGCGAATGCGACCCTCGTCGGACAGGCTGTGGAACGCGTTCATCGTCGACACAGGAGGAGAAAACGAGAAGGTGAACGACCCCAACGCGTGGAAGAAGCACTGCAAGAAGGTGCTCAAACGCGTGAAAAAGAACGACAGGAGCTGGCCGTTCTGGGAGCCGTTCTGGGATGATCCGGAGGCAGATCCCGAGACCGCAGACTACCTGACTGTTGTCAAGGAGCCCATCTGTCTGGACTTTGTGGATGCGAGGCTGGAGCAGGACACGTACGGGAAGCCGGAAGACTTCCTGGCGGACATGCGACTGATCTTCAGCAACGCCAAGAGCTACAACCCTCCTGAGCACGACTACCACAAGATGGCCGACAAGGTTTCTGCCTTCTTCGAGGAGATCTGGGCGACCGGTCACGAGGGCAACAACTGGGGGCAAGTCACCCAGAAGGATCCCAGCAAGAGCTTGCTCAAGAGCCAGCAGAAGATCAGACCCCAGCTCAAGAAGAAAACCCCCAGCACCACCCCAGCTCCTGCTCCAGCTAAAGAGAAGACAAAGGAGAAGACAAAGGAGAAGACAAAGGAATTGTCCAAGGAGAAGTCCAAGGAGAAGACAAAGGAGAAACAGCCCAAGACTCCTGGAGACCTGCCGGTGAAGAATCTGACGGGTGAGTTGGAGGAGGTGAAGATCAAAGCTCCTGTCAAGGAATTGCTTCTCAAATGCATCGACGAAATCTTCGGGATGAAGGATTCAGAATTGTTTCGTCTACCTGTAGACAAGCAGATCGCTCCAGACTACTATGAGGTGATCAAGAGGCCGATGGACCTGACCAAGGTCAGAGAGAAGCTGGAGAAAGGAAGGTGAAGATGAAGATGATGCGACTGCTTGCGGTTTCTGATTCTTCCTCTGCAGGTACTCGATGGTCAGCAAGTTTGTGGCTGACATGAGGCAAATCTTCGAGAACGCTTACGAGTACAACAACGAAAACGACCAGGTCTACGAGGAAGCCAAGAGCCTGGAGAAGAAGTTTGAAAAACTTTGGAAGAAAGTTGAGAAGCAGATCGAAGAGATTCCCGCAACAAAACCTGAAAAGGAGAAGAAGGCAGAGAAGGCAGAGAAGGCAGAAGAGCTCGCCAAGACTCCCAAGAAAACACCAAAGTCGTCCAAGGGCAACGACAAGAGCAATGACAAGAGCAATGACAACTCGGCGAAGCAATCGGAGAAAACAAGTCAGGCCAAACCAACTCCAACCAAACCAAGTCAACCCAAGATTAGTCAATCCAAGACTAGTCAAACCAAGGAAAATCGAGAGAAGTCAACGGCGAGGTGTCTCGAGGTGCTGGACAAGGTTTCCAACGACAAACACGCATGGCCCTTCGAGGAGCCGGTTGACGCGAAGAAGTTGAAACTGAAGGACTATCACAAGATTGTGAAAGAGCCCATGGACTTGTCCACGATCCGGTCGAGACTGCAAGGAGAGGAATACAAGCGGGTAGAAGAAGAATTTCACAGAGACATGCACCTGGTCTTCGACAACGCCCTACTCTTCAACCATGAAGGGGATCCCATCCACGAATACGCCGAGCAGCTCAAAATGAAGTTTGACAAGCTGTGGGCCAAAAATGCGAGGCCGGAGGAGGCTGCCGCCAAGAGCGAAACTCCCACGGCCGACAAGAGTGCGAAAAAAGTGTTCAAACAGGAGAAGGAAGCGGCAGCTGAAGCCAGTCAAGCCCCGGCCGCTGAACATGTAAGTGACAAAGTTGAATGAGAGACTGAGAGATGAACTCCCTCCTCCCTCCTCTCTCCTCTCCCTCCTCTCTCCTCTCCCTCCTCTCTCCTCTCCCTCCTCTCTCCTCTCCCTCCTCTCTCCTCTCTCCTCTCTTCCTCTCTCCTCTCTCCTCTCCCTCCTCTCTCCTCTCTCCTCTCCCTCCTCCCTCCTCCCTCCTCTCTCCTCTCTCCCTCTCCCTCCTCTCTCCTCTTTCCTCTCTTCTCTCCCTCCCTCCTCTCTCTCCCTCTCCCTCCCTCTCCGCTCCTTCCCCTCTCTCCTTCCTCCCTCCCCTTCCCTTCCTCTCGTTCTCGATTTTTTCGTGTCTGATGAAATTGATAGTGGTTGGATTGGGCAAAGACGACCATCCAGCAAATGCTCGACGACGAACTTTCTCTTCCCTTCCGAGAGCCTGTCAACCCCGTCGAGCTCGGGCTGGATGACTACTGGGAGGTATGATACATCCTCCTCCTCCTCCTCCTCCTCCTCAATATTATCATCATCATCATCATCATCATCATCATCATCATCCTCATCATATGCATCCACTTCGCCCTCCTCATCCTCATCCTCCTCCTTCTCGTGCTTGCTGATAATCCTCCCAGGTGATAAAGAACCCCATGGACTTGGGAACGATCAGCAAGGGGCTCAAGAGGAGGAGATACTCGTCCCTTGCCCAGGTGGTAGAGGACACGGTGCTAGTGTTTGAAAACGCGATGCTCTACAACAACCGATCAGACCCAGTGAACAAGAGCGCCAAGGAGATGCTTGCCAACTTCAAACAGGAGCTCTCTCAGTTCGAGAGAAGAGCTGGCGGAGCAGGGCAAGCAACCCTAGGTGATACTTCTGCGAAGAAGAAACGGAGCAGAGAAGAGAATGCAGAGGAAGTAGAACCGTCGAGCAAGAAGGGCAGAAAGAGCGGAGGTGACGCAGCAGCAGCAGCAGCAGCAGCAGCAGCAGAGGAAGTTCCGAAAGAAGCATCCACCAAGAAGGGAAGAAAGAGTGAAGGAGGAGCAGTTGCGGAGCAAGTTTCCACAGAACCGTCCGCCAAGAAGGGAAGAAAGAGCGGTGGCGGAGGAGGAGCAGAGGAAGTTCTGAAAGCAGCATCCAACAAGAAGGGAAGAAAGAGTGAAGGAGGAGCAGTATCAGAGGACGTGCCAACAGAACCGTCGAGCAAGAAAGGCAAAAAGAGCAGCGGGGGAGGAGCAGGAGGAGTGGAGGAGAGCGGGAAGCTGGAGATCGGGGCGACAGTCAAGATGCTGTTTGACGACGGGCAGTGGCATGAGGGGGTAGTGGACAAGTTTGACAGCAAGAAGAATAAGTATGAAGTGCGCTTCGCAGACGGGGACGTTCAGATCACATCCTTCCCTGACCCTGACGTGAAGCTGGTGGAGGAGACAGCCTCGTCCAAGAAGCCCCAGCTCCCCCCCGAGCAGGGGTCGAGCAAGTCTCGAGGCAGGAGACCGCAGGATGAAGCTAAGGGAAGTGGAAAGAAGGGGAAGGGAGGACAAGGGGGGGAGCTGCTGGAGGACCCGGAAGCGAATCTTGGGCGCCACGTCAGCATGCTCTTTGATGACGGCGTGTGGAACAAGGTAAATCTCCTCCTCCTCCACCACCACCACCACTGCCTCCTCCTCCTCCTCCTCCTCCTCCTCCTGTCTTGGTCTCTCTATCCTCTCCTTTGCCCTGCTGTCCGCTCCCACCCTCCCATCACCCTTCTCTTGCTTGTCCGCTCCCCCCCCCCCTCTACCAGCGGCGTTCAGCTGACATGGGGCAGGGGGTGATCATCAAGTACCACATGAGGTCGGGCAAGTATCGCATCAGGTTCGAGGACGAGGAGGAGCTCGACGTGCTGCTGCCCAACGAGGAAGTGAAGCTACTGGAGGAGTTCAGCTACACCTAGGGGATCAAAACTTTAATGCACCACCGCTGGCTCTACTGCAGCCCCTGGTACTGCCCCAGGTCTGCCCCGTACTTGTCCACCCCCGTGGTCGTGAAGCCGATGGCCTCGACGGGTCCCATGCCCTGAAGGAGAATGAGACGCAGGAGGTGGCGCAGTTGGGGAGGGTGGGAGAGAAAGAATGAGAGGAGGGAGGGCAGGAGGAGATGGCAAGGACGAGGGGAGGGAGGGAGGGAGGGAGGGAGGGAGGGAGGAAGTGCTTCATCGGTGAAGAGTCAGGGGAGGAGCAGGAGGGAAGGATTAGAGGAAGTAGATGGGCTTGCCTTGCCCAGCGAGGGCTGCTTGGCGTAGCCGGCAAAGGAGACGCTCTTCTTGCTGAGAAGAGACTCGAGGAGCCATGATCCGAAGAACGTCTCCCCCCTGCTGAGTCGTCAGCAGCTGCTCGGAAGAGGAAGAGGAAGCAGGAGGGAGCCGAGGGGACTGTGGACGGGGAAGAGATGGGAGAGGAAGGGTACCTGTGCGTGACTGAGAGGACAGCCTTCTGTGCGATGATGGCGTTGAACGCTGGCTTCAAGGCAGAGGCAAACTTGAGCATCTTGAGAAGAGTCAAGACTTGAAAACGAGCACAAGCATCGTGACCGCACAGAGGAAGGGAAGGAGAGGAAAGTAGAAAGAGGGAGAGAGGAGGAGAGAGTTGGAGAGGAGGAGGTGGAAACAAAGGGGAGAGTGAACAAGAGGGGGAGGAGGGGGGGGGGGGGTTGGAAGCAGAGGAGGGGGAGGGGAATAGTTTGACCTCAATCTCCGCGTTCTCGTCCTTGAGAGCGCTGAATACATCCTCCGGTGCTCCACTCATCCTCGAGTTGAGACAAGCGACAGCAGCGCAATCCTTCGGAATAAGCTCCCTGGATAGCAAACTGGTTCAGACCTCCCCGAAACTTCTCCCCCACCTCCTCCTCCTTTTTCCCCTCCTCTGCCTCCTCCGCCTCTACCAAAGTCTCCAACTCTGCCAACGTCTCCAACTCTGCCAACGTCTCCTCCTCTGCCAACGTCTCCTCCTCCTCCCTGTCACCGGATAGCGGTTGCCTCCTCCACCGTTGCTGCTTCCACGCAGATGATCTTGGAACCAGATGCCACAGCGCTCTCGCACTGGAGGAAGACGTTCAGTCTCACCACCCTTCCAGCAGGGACGAGCACATCACCTCCTCCTTGCTCCTCACAAGGGTCAAAACTTCGATCCCCAGTGCGCTACAGGCCTTCTTCACCTCCTCCAAGCTTGCAGAGGACATGGGTACCAGCACCCCCTCCACCCCCGCAGCCTTCGCCTCAGCCACCTGCTCGCAAGCAGCTGAGCACGAGCAGAGAAATGACTCTTGCTGAGACCTGACGCGACGATGTGACCTCGCCAGTGCGGACGACAGGGAGAGGACCAGGAAAACTTCCCTTGGCTGACAACTGCAACGCAAGTCAGTACGTGCGCATGGTCCTGCGTCCAGCTCTCACTTGCTCTTCGACGAACTTTTCGCAGTCTTGGAGTCCCGACTTGCTGTCAGCGTTCACGAAGATGGCTCCTGCCTTCTCTCTGCGCATCTTGAGGGAGAACTGACGGAATTCCACGCCATGCAGGGCGCCGTCGTCAGCATTGGGATGACGGGAGAACTCGATGGCAACACTGACAGCACCAGAAGCCTTCTTGAGAGCCTTGAAGAGCTTGGTCGAAGCCTTGGCTTCTTTTCCTTCCTCCACTACTCGGAGAAATTTCTCCACCTCCTCTTCGTTGATCGCCATCTTCAACAATCCACAACCCCGGTCCCTCCTGACACGAAGAGCTTGAACACGAGGCCTGAGGGATGAGAGCGTATTGATGCGAGAGGAGGGCGTGAGGGACAAGGAGACATGTGCTGTGGATGAGAGAAGGTAGCAGAGGGTGTGGCTGATGCAGCAGACGAGGAGGAGGACGAAGAGCGGCGCTCTGGCCATGGCGGCCTCCGTTCCTGCGCTTCCTGCGACAGCCCGCCTCAGAAAATGTGAAGCTTGGAATCGAATCAAACCGATCTGACTACCCTGATCCGAATCGAACTGAACCGATTCGGCTCCTCCAATGCACATCAGGGTGAAGACGCTGACGAGGAGGACGTTTGGGCTGGACGTGACGCCTGACGACTCCATCATGAGCATCAAGACGAAGCTCTCCAAGGTTCCCCCTCTCCTCCTCCTTCTCTTTATCTCCCTCCTCTCCTCCTCCACCACGTCCTCTCTCGCCCTCACCTCCTCCTGCTCCTTCTCCCTCCTCTCCTCCTGATCCTCTCCCTCTCCCAATGTCGTGGTCTCTCAACTTCACACTCTCCTTCCTTTCTCTCTACTTTTCAGCCTCTTAGAACCGTTTGCTCGTCCATTTCCTTCATCCATTGCTTTCCTCTTTGCACCAACGCTCCATGAGATTCCTACGCAATTCTGCCGCAACAGCATGCTGTTGACTGTTAGGGGCATCAATAGAAAAAGAATTTTTGATGCATCAGCAGGAGACAGGCATTCCCCTCAAGGGACAGAAGCTCATCTACAAAGGAGAAGTCCTACAGACAGGAAGTGTGGAAACTTGCGGGATCTCCGATGACGATTTCCTCGTCGTCGTCGTTGCAAGGTCACCCGATGAAGTCAGTGAAGTGAAGGAGGTGGACAAGGTGAGCGAGAGCTTGTGCACTGCACCGCTTGTGATGACCGGCGAGCAGAAGAAGTCAAGCTACAACTCAGAGCAGGAGAAAGCTGAAGCCACAAGAGCAAGGTCGAGTCTCTCAGCTGCGGAGCATGGTGGGAGCTCATGGTCGGGTGCAGGGAGAAGGCTCTAGCGTCAGTGCGGAACGACAGCAATCAAGCAGGAAACTTCCCTGTGCAGTGAGAGTCTGATGGAGGAGACGCCTCGAGCCTCACGTGCCGCAGGTTGACCGAACTCATCCAAGCGCTCGCCACCTTCTCGGTCGCGGGTCAACAGTTCCAGGTGCAAGTGGACCCGCGCTACGAGGAGGAGTCCAGGTACATGTGCCCTTGTCCTTGCGCTTCTTACCGCATCCTCGACAGAGACAGGGAAGAAGTTCGTCAGGAGGAGGAGGAGGAGGAGGAGGAGGAGGAGGAGGGAGACGGCGAGGACGAGCACGACCTTGACGGTGAAAATTGCGGTCTGATGATTGATCGATGACATGGACGGGTAGACGAAGATCAACACGATGATGCCTACGAGGAAGAGCACGAAGATGTGACTCTTGTTGTGTCTGCTGTATTGTTCCTGACGGCAAGAGGAGGATGAGGAAGAGGAGGACGAGGAAGAAGAAGACGAGGAGGATGGCGAGGGCATGCTGTTTGAGGACAACGAGTCGCTGCAGCAGCTGCTCGACATGGGTTTCCCTGAGAACAGGGCAAGGAGAGCGATCGCAATATGTGGGGGAAATGTACAGGTGGAGGAGGAGGAGGAGGAGGACGGCAACGAGGGACTTACAAGAGGAGCAGAGGAGCATGGAGTGGTTGCTGGAGCATGAAGGTGATCCAGGCGTCGATGAGCCGATGAGCGAGGATGAGCTGCGATCTCTTGCTCGCTCGCGACGTGAAGTGAGAAACTTGTTGTGCCAGCGGCGGGTCTTGACGCATACAGCAGGAGGTGAACGGCCCTACCAACGAGGTGAGAAGGCAGAGAGGGGAAGGAGGAAGAGATCACAAGGAAGCAGGAGGCCGTGACTAGGCTACGAGAGATGGGCTTCTCCGAGGAAGACGTCACGCACGCGCTGCGAGCATGCGACAACAACTTCGAAGCCGCCATGGCATGGTTGCTCGGGGATCGAGAGGTGAGGAGAAATCGTCATTGCACTGCTGACCTGAGACCCTCTCCTCATTGCTCGATGGCAGGGAGGAGGAATGGAGGAGGAGGAAGAGGACGAGGAAGAGGACGAGGAGGAACAAGAGGAGGAGGAGGGCGGTATCGACATGAGGGGATCGAACTTGAATCCTGCCTTCCTGGACTCGACAGAGATGCGACAAGTGAGGGGAGGGAAGTTGGTCTCCGTCTCTCACCTCCCCCGCAGATCCTGTCGAACCCAAGAGTAGTAATGCAGCTCCAAGAGATGCTGTCTGACCCTGAGAGCATGAGAAATCATCTCAACAACCCTGAGGTTTTCTCCCTCCCTTCTTCCCTCTCTCCTGCCCCTTTTTTCCCCTCCTTCTCTCCATCTTCTATTGCATTGCTATCTCCCTCTCCATCTTCTTTCCAAATCCATTCCCCTTCTTCTCTGCCTCCTCTCTCCCCTTTCGATCTCTTTTTTTGTGTCTTCTTCCTCATCCTCCTCATCCTCTCCCTCACTTCCTTCTCCTCTCTCGCAGCTCATCACTTCATCTCAGATGCTTCAGATCTTACAAGCCTTCAACAACCACAACTTGCAGTATCGACCTGATGACAACGAACCAGCCTAATAAACTCCTACCAATGTCAGCCCCCCCCCACCCCCCTGTTTCGAAATTTATCACCCACCCTATGCCGTCTCGTTATGCCGCCAGACGGATCTCGAAACCATCTCTCCCCTCCCCTCCCCTCCCCTCCCCTCCCCCTCCCTCTCCCTCCCCTCCCCTCCTCCCCCTCCTCCTCCCCTCCCCTCCTCTCCTCTCCTCTCCTCTCCCCCCTCTCCTCTCTTCCCCTCCTCCTCACCAGCGCGTGTCTGTCCCCTTACCTTGTCATCCCTTCTCCTTCTCATCCTCCTCTTCATATTTCATCTCCTCTCCTCCCCTTCTCTCTTCCCTCCCTCGCCTCAGCAATTTTCTACTGAGATTTCTGTTCATCTCTCGTCTGTTTTCCTATCTCGAATGTGCAGCTTCTTTCTACCTATCGTTGCTCCATCGCATTTCATAGCTCGTTCTCTTAGCAAGCTCTCCTCCTCAGGTCGCAACTCCCAGTTCTGACTTGATGCGTTGTCAAGATTGCAGGCACACAGGAGATGCAGAGATGTACATTCGAGCTCTCGTCACGTTAGCATTGGGTCGGTAGCAACAACTTCCTTGCAGCGACGAGCAAGACCAACGGCAGCGACATCATCTAAAACTTTCTTGTTTACAGTCTTTTGTATCATCGTTGAAGCGAATTCCTCCTCTCACAGCGAGGTATCCTTCAGAATCGTTTGTCGACGCGCTGAGAGAGCATCAGGTGAAGATGTCGGAGCCATGCAGAAAGAGAGCGAGGGAGGACCGGGAGGACAGTGAGACCAAGGAGCCAAGTTTTGACGAGCTAGTGGATGCAGCATCGCGAGTGCTGAAGGAGGATGGCGAGATGAATCACAAGAAGGTTCTCAAGACTCTCAAGCAACAGCTCCCGCGCTGGCGCATCACCGACAAAAAGCTCCACAAGGCCATCATGCACATCCGATCCGCTCCCAAGGAAGTGAAGGAACAGGTCCACCTGAACACGGAAGGACGATTGATGGGTACGCCGAAAGGTTTCAATTATGACTTCAAAGCTATTGACGCGATCGATCTTTCCGACAAGATGATTCTCAAGAAGCTTGTCGGTGAGTGTGAAAAAGCTTACAAGAAGAAAAGCTTTTGGCTTGCGGCAAACGCGAAGCCAAGATTCACATTAGAAGCACTCGCAAAGCAAATCTTTGGTGAGCCGTAGAGATGAATTGAATTTATCTTATCATTGCTTTCCCGACAATCATCAAAACAAATGGATTTGACGGTCGGTCGATTGCTTCTGAACAAAACGCAAAAGAATTTCACACAGCCGACGTCAAGGGGTATGATGAGACAAGATCAGGAGCAGAATGGTGATGTTTGTGACGTCACCGGCACGACTTATCTTCATGCAGGTGGGTGCAGTTCAGGGGAACAAAGTCAGCTCATGGCAAGTCCATCGGCTTTCATTGGGATAGGGATGAGTTCTATGCGGACAGAACTGATCAGAACGTCCATCCTCAGGTGATTCGTCGTCGATCAAAAATCGCTTTGAGTCATCTGAACATCTAGATCGGGACTGTGACGTACCTCAGCGAGCATGGAGCTCCTACCCTCGTGCTCGATCAGGTCAGGAAGCAAAATGAGAGCGAGACTCTGACCATGTTGTGCCAAGAGTCCGATTCCCAAAGGAGAATCGCGGGACATTCACTCAGGTGCTCTTAGCCACCCCAAGCTCGGCAAGCATATCTGCTTCGACGGCAGATTTCTGCATGGAGTCCCGGCCGAGCTCTCGCGCCACCTCAAGGAGGATCAGTTCACACGGATCACCTTCCTCGTCAACATCTGGATTTCCCACATCCCTACTGACACGGCGCCATGGCCGGAGGAGGATGTCAAGAGCATGTCCACGTTTTCTCTTCCTGTCTCCTTCTCGCAGATTCTTCTTCGCTCGCCTACTGCCGTCACTGTCGACCATAAATGCCCAGTGGGTTCTGTTCTCACAGTCAGGTCGCTGTCGTGAGACCACCCGCAGGTGCAAGGATTCGCTTTCGGACGGAAGGGGGAATCGCATGAGCTTTGGCTTCCAACACCACGAGGAGGAGGATCGCCGGATGACAACATGGTCATCAGACTACAATCCGAACTTGACTCAACTCTTTCTCAGGTCTTGACCTTCACCAGCAAGGCTCCTGCTCGACTTGTCCGCTCCATGAAATAGCATTTACTTGACGCTTACCAAAGGTGTCATGACATCACAAGAAAACGACTAGAAACGAGGGGGATTGGTCCTTGCTATCTTACTGCTTGGCTGATGCAGGAGCTTTCTGTTGATACATTCCGTCGATAATGTTCCTACACCGACAGAAGTAAGGATTGGAAGGACAAAAAATAAATGAAATGAATGTCGTTACTTGTTCTGTTTCTTGATGAGCAATCGATTCAAGCTTCCATCAGCATTGATTTCTCCAGACTTCTTCGAAAAATGCTTGACGAGGATAGAAAATCGTCGGACCTGTTTTCTATTAGAAAACATTTGCACAACAGAGATTGCGAGCACCTGTTGTGCCGGCACTGCGATCTCTTGATTTGCTGCAGCAAAGCCAGGAAGAAGCCCGTTCGCCCTGAACTTCGTGCAGGCCCTGGCTTTCTGAACAGTGGTTGCATCGCTTTGTACTTTCCTTGTCAGCTCCAGAGCAGGTTCAGCAAGATCGTCTTTGTCTGGGATAGTTGAAGGATCTTCTCCTCTTTCAGCTGCCTCAGATCCCTGTAAAGACAGTCAAAATTTTGTTTTGAGTCCATATCCTTTGGAGATCAAACCTTTGTCTTCAAGACCAGCATGCATGACAAGAATTCTTTTCCGCTCCCTACAACCATGACGTGCGCTACCGCGTCCAGATGCCTCAATAGAACCTGAAGCAAGATACGATCAGATCGATTCTTCTGAGAAAGACACTCACTTTCTCGAGGTTGATTGCCTCGACTTTGCTTCCATCCGACAACTTCAATACACTCTCATCATCCTCGTCTGTTTCTGCTGGAGCTTGACTTGATTCAGCTTGCTTCTGCTCAGTCGGTGCTGCTTGCACAGTGGGAGGAAGTGAATCTTTGCTTGTCGCAGGAGCTTCAGGAGCTGCTGGAGGGGCGGGCGGAGCTGGAGGTTCAACCTGCGGGGCTGGCGGTGCAGGTGGGGGTGGGGGGGGCATCTGCGGAGCCGCCGGAATCTGCGGATGTGATGTAGGCGATTGCGGAGCAGATTTTCTTTCAGCCGGTGGCGGAGCCGGTTGAGAAGATGGAGAAGCAGGGTGTTGGGCAGAAGAAACTGGAGCAGAAGCTTCAAGCTGATCTGAAACTCCGGCGCCAATCTCTTCTTCCTGTGGTGTCTCCATTTCTTGCTGTTCTGCATCTGAAAGTTCGGAAGGACCTGGTCCGTAGTACATCACCTCCTTAGTTTTCACATCTTCAACCTTCCACATGCCATCTGGCATTTGGATTCCTGGTGTCGAGCCTGTGCGCAAAAGGATTCGCCCCCTCCACTTGAAAGATTTGTCATCAAACGCTTCACCCCGGGCTGCGGCCATGCAATCCTGGACTAGACTTTTCCAAAGAGGTGGATTGCACATTGGATGTAAAACAGGAACGCCTTTTCCGGGCATCAGCTGCCTTTCGGCAAAAGCCAAAGGTTTCACACCCTTCTCGCCTTCGACTCCTTGCATTTTCAACTTCTGATCCCGTTTCAAGGTATACTTAATGTTCCCTCCCGCAGTCTTGAAGACGACGTCTAATTGAGAGTCTTGAGGACCAATCAACATTTCATTTAGAATCTGCTGAATCTCATCGAATTTTCCCTTTCCAAAATGAAGGTTGTCAATCGACACCAATTGGTAGTACTCACGGATGCCGTCAAATTTCCTGCCTGTTGGAGTTAACAATCCAGGGACCAGCTGCTCCCCAGGTGCCGTTTCCGCATACGATCCTGGTACTATGCCATCTTTTTCAACATAGAGAGTCTCATTATGGTAGGAGAAACTGATTCCAGGGCTATACCATTCCTGCACTCCCGTCTTTGTAATGATTGGAGCGCGTGGTACCAAAGCTTCATACTTTTTCCCCGTTCGTTCGAACTCTATCAGAACATCTGTTCCAGGCTGACCATCAGTGATAGCATGGGCCCATTCATGAACGGTTTTTTTGTAAACGTCTTGGTAGGGGAACACTTGCACTGGACTTGTTGGAGCGTCACCAATCTTGTGCACCACATCGCCAGGCAAAATCTTCTTCACGTCCCAATCAGCAGAAATATTTTTTGGATTCAAGTGGAATGCAGGTCCGTTCAAATTCAAATGGTCCACCACAACCTCACCTCGATCTTCTTTTTTGACAAATGAGATACCACAATGCACACCACTCAAGTTTGCAACATATTTCTTCTGAGGAACCATTCGTGGGCGCATCACGCGTACGGGCTTTTCATTATTTGGAGACGGAATGTTGATTGCATTGGGATCCACCTTTTTCAGATTGATGAAAGTGGAGAGGTCTTTTTGATCCATAGCGTCTTCAGCTTCAGGGGCAACAATTCCCACAGGTTTTCTAACAACGTTACAAGTGTACAGCTCCCCTTTGAAGTTTGCAAACGTCATAACACATTCTGTGTCTTCTTTGCCAGTGAGAAGATTATGCCAGGTTTCAAGAGGTTTTCTCGCTATATCTTGTCCATTGACCTCTAAAATCCTGTCGTTGACCTTGACCACGTTCCCTAACAAGTCAGCAGGACCATTTGGTATGACTTGTTTTACCCTAACCCAACGATGACCACCAAGGTCTTGGTGGAACACAATGCCGACCTCACAGTCTTCTCGTTTCACACCGGTTCTCCCTTTGTACATTGTTACATCATAAAATTCAGAGTCCGGAGCTCCGGCATGCCGCAATCGGAGAATGACCCTGTCCATCCACAACTTTTTAGAAAGCATTTTTTTCATGGTTGCCAATGGTCGAAAACCGCCACGAATGGGTACTAGTTGATTCCTTTCGTTTCCTATCCCAATGAGCCAGTCGCCTTCTTGAATTTTGTCCTTGCCATATTGCTTGGCAGGTCCGTTATCGATAACCTTTGCAATCCGAATCTGGCCATTACCGTAGTTCTTGAATGCGAGACCCAGTCCAAAGATATCTGATTCCCCTGTCGTAGGCTGATACTCTCTCGCAGGAGTCAAGTCAACCAATGCTGCCTTGGGCGCTACAGGACCTGGACCAGTCGGTTGAGGTGGTGGCGCGGGTGGTGCAGGAGCTTGTTGGGGTGGAATTGGTTGTTGAGCGACCTTTGGCGTAGTTGAAACTTGGAAAGAAATTTGAGGCTGCTGAGGTTTAGGCGCAGTGCCCGATGATCTCACGAGATTAATCTGTGCAAGCCCACCCTTGGCCTTTTGTAACCGCAAGACCATGACAGAGCCTTCCGGTCCACGGAGCATTTCCGCTATTTCGACAGGGTGTACAGTGCGCCCATTTGGTCCGATTCCGTAAAAAACTTTAACACCATCAATTTCGTATATGATGTCACCTATTTCGACATGCCCACTGACATCAGCAGGCCCCCCAGGCTTAATGTGTGTAATCTGGAAGCATCCATCGTCGGTGGAGTCAAATTGAATGCCAATATCAGCTGCACCAGAAACATTTGAAGTCAATGGTTGCTGCGCTCGTTGCTTCTGTTTGTTCGCAGCTTGGTTTGGATCCTCTGGATTCAAGGTACGCTCGAGTAAGACCGCTCGAGCATTGTTTGGATCTCCATTTTTGAAAACTTTGACTTCCACAAAAGTGCCAACAGGTCCCTGGATGTGCTGAACAAATACCTAATGTACGCATAAGATTTCATCATGCGGTTAGTTACTTCTTACCTGGAAAGGCTTTTTGTATACATCGTGATTATCGACTTCAAACACTACGTCTCCAGGCTGAATTTGTCCAGATTTTTCAGCAGAGCCTCCTCTAGCTAAGCGAACGATTTCAAGCTCATTCTTTTCATTTGGTTTCAGAAAAAGGCCAACACCACCTATAAAGTTTGTAAGTGGAAAGCGAGAAGACAAGGTTCACAGGCGAATGAATCACAAACCGATAGGTGTTTGTTGAGCTTGCACTTGATAATTCTCCAGGGGAGGAACTGGAGGAGCTGCAGGAGCTGTGGGGGGAAGAGGTGGTTGAGGCCCTTGTTCATATTGCTGCTGCTGAGGCATGTAGTTCTGCAAAGACGTTTCTGGCATCCACACCGCTGGTTGTGCTATTCAACAGACGTCACAATTTGAAAACAATACAACAAAAGCGAAAACAGTACCAGGGGCATTTGCCTCGTTTTCAGATTCATCTGGGATTGCAAAATACTCATGGCCTTGTCTCTTTCCTGAGTAGTGGAGAGCCTCGAAGCACTGAGAAAATGCAACTCAGGGATTCCTCAATGATCATGCAAAACAAGAGTCTAACTGAAGAAGAATGAGTCATACCTCCACACAAAAGCTTTCTTTGCATTGCTGGCAGAAGAGAGAAGCTGGTGTGTCATCGCATAAATCGCAGATCTTCCTTCTGCTTGCCATGGCTGTTACCGCTGCCGCCGCTCCTCTTCAGAGGATGCTGCCGAACATCACCCCCACCCCCCGGGCAGTTCCACGGGTACCACCCCTAGAGAACTTCGGAAAAGGACTACCCCACTGACATTTCTCCCGCTAGTCCTAGAGGTGCACCGCTACCACAGGCGGTTCATGTCGACAGGACCCTACCCCCATTTGGTCTAGCTACCACCCCCTAATAACTTCAATTTCTCGGACCCTCCGGTGTGACACCGATTTGCAGAGACAGGGGCCTGCCGCAGTGCCGTTCTGCATACCACCCCACCCCCACCCCACCCGCTCCGCTACCCCTGTCAGCCCCTTACCGGTGTTTCCGACCCGGTGGCCGATCGTACATTTGGAGCCATCCTACTGCACCCACCCCCTTAGCCTACCATTGGATTCCGTCCTTTCCTGGGAAAATCCGGGGTAGTATTTCAGGGGGTCAGTTCTTTTTGGCGATGAAAGCCAGACAGGAGGGGTGGTTTGAGTGCACAAATTTGAATTCTTGGTCGAAGGAAGGGGGGTCCCCCAACGCAACAATAGGGGGTGGTAGATGCTAATGCTGTAGTAGGGCCTGGGGTGGGTAGTAGTCGGCCCGGAGGCCTGAAGTTGGGCTTCAAGGTAACGGTCAACCGGGCACCGAGAACTTTGAAACTTTCGAAAGAGAATATTCAAAGTTTGAAGTTCTTGTTGAACTGGTCACGCCCGACAGGTTCTGGACCCGGAGGCCTGCTTGACACTCGACTAGCGCCCAGGAAGCGGCCCCCATGGTGAGCGGAGCTTTCGCTGTCAACTGTGCACCCTTGCCAAGAACGCTGCATGCTGGGATAAGAACAAGAGGATTATCCTCACCCTCTCATGCTTTAATCACGCGGCTACCATATCAAACGAAACAAGCAGAGCAAACAATCTCTTACTTCTCGCCCTTGAGCCCGAGCATGCCAACAGGTGATGCACGAATCAGGTTGCATGCAGCAAGCACAGCCATTCCTGCTGTGACTCTGAAAGGATTCATCCTCTTGAGCTCATGCATTGCATGCGGCGTCTCTGGTGCTACAAGCATGAAGCTTTCTAATGGTTTCAAGAATTTTTGGCCCAGTGTGATGATTTTTGTGTCTTATGCTTTGGCCTTCGTACTCTTTACAAAGGCGCTCTTGCTTTGGCCGCTATCTATCGCATACGCTGTATGGTCAGGGCTAGGAACGGCTGCGACGGCAGTGATAGGCGTCGCGTTTTTCAAGGAAAGCCTGAAACCAGTTCATCTCTTAGGCCTGGCGCTTATCATTGTTGGGGTATCCCATGTATGGTTTCCTTGAAAGGCTCTGACTGGTTTTTATCAGGTTTCAGTGATGAATCTTTGAAGCAGACTGCAACATGCACCTTGAAGACAATGAACCTGTGCGCAACACCAGGAGATGTCTACAATTTCCCCTCATGCTTTTTCCACTGGATTGCAGCATTTTGCACCACAATCCCGCAACGCTACATCTCAACTGTTTCACTAACAAACCTTGTTTTGGATATTAATCAGAAATGCTGTTAGAACCGAATACACGATGAAGTCACCAAGAACTCTCTATTTGGAATCAAAAAATAAGTTCTACACGAACAACAGCACGATAATAAAAATTCTCAACTTTTACTGCACTAGCTCTCTCCTTCGCCCTCGTCAACAACTGCTTCCTTTCCTGCCAGTTGGATCCCTAATCGAGAATGCACCAATTTCTTGTCATCTGCATGAAGCCATCACAGATGTTAAAGCTCGAGAGCAAACCTAGCGATGATGTTGTTGATGATGACGATGCAGTTTTGGAAAGGGTTACGTCAAGCTGCTCGTCACTCAACGGGTGTCTGCCCACAAGTCACATGGAAAAATACAAAAATGACCTCTTGCCCAGCTGGAAGACCGCATGCTGCTGTGAACTTCTTTCGAGAAGCCATGTCAAGCTCCTGACCATGTCAAGCATTCATGATGCGTCATCACAGCTACCCTCCGACTCACAGGAACTTGATGAAGAAATGGACAGATGCTGTGACAGGCCGCGTGCGGCTGTCGATTGGAGCAAACTTTGCACTATGTGAAGTCAACAACATTGACATTGACTCCTTGCATCAATGATTTACCGTGCAGATATTCAGTCGAAAAGGATTTGGGAGCCTCTGTACCTTCTTTGGCAGCGGCATGAAGGATGAAATTGTGGAATCCAGCGGCTGACCATTTCAAGTTTAACAGAAGTCCAAAGTAGCTACCAATACTGACCTGGCCATACTGACAGTATCCACGACGAACGATCAGGGACATTCCATCTTTTCCCTGCCATACAATGAGGAACGATGAGGCAACAAATCCTTGGACCTTAATGGCTTCAAGATATCTGGGACCGCAGACCCTGCTAAGATAAGTTCCAGGAGTGCTCCGTTCTATCACACACCAACGAATGTCTCGACAACCATAGATATCTGATTGCGTCTCAAAAATGTAATTGTGGTGATAAAAACACATCCCAGCATCTTGACAAAAGATCTTATGACACGCTGCACTGCAAGTCGCTGTACAACACATGCTACAAAATGCACTTTGAGTTGAATTCCGAAAGGGGGTACCACATGGACACTTGAGCTTGGAGAGACTTACAATCATCTCTTCTCCCGCATTCAGTTTGTACACGACATCGTCCGAGGACGTCAGTGTGCTCCATTCTCTTGATTTCTGAAATTGCGGAAGGCCTCCCACGAGACGATGGCCGCGATCTGTGGCGCTTTCTGCACAGTAATAGCACATCCGTTGCTTCAGGTCAGGTGAGAACCACACAGCACGGAGATGCTCGTGGAGGTAATGGCTGCATGCGATGTTGTCCTCGAAGTATTCGCTCTTCAAGGAAGGGGCACGATCTACGTGTTTCTTCTCATCACTGTCAACACTCTCTCCTGCAAATATCAAAGGTTGCCCGATCTTGTCGTGAGAGCTGTATTCACGTAAATCATTGACGATCTCATCAAGAGCAACTTCATCTGATGCAATTAAAGCATGACCTTTATTGCTCGCGCAGAAATGCACACTCACCTTCCTGACTTCTCGCTCTCAGTTTCCGTGTCTTTGTTCGTCCAGTCGGCGGACGAGGAGGAGGCCCCTGCATGGCGGTGCTCCGATCAAACTGCCATACCAACTTCGGAACCACCTCTTTCACTCAATCAACCCCCAGTCACCCGGTTGAAACCTCAATTTCACACTGACAGTCGGCGCCGGGCGGCGCCGGGGCCCGGGGCGGCGCGCCGCCGTGCCCACTGGGCCTGAGTCGGAGCCTCGGAGTGACACTGTGCCGGTTACCGGCCGTCTGGCACTGCGGCGGCAGCCTTGCCCCCAATCGGGTGACTCCGACTCACAGACTGAGAGTCAGCGGCCAGCGGTGCGACTGCGGCCTGGCACTGTGCTCTTGTTGACTGACTCCCGAGTCCGGCGCCGCGATCGAACGGTGCCGCGCCTATACTGATGTCGGTGCCAAACTTATTCTCTTATAGACTTACTACCTAGACGAATTTTCAATTTGGTGGACAACATGTCTTGCAATCCTTCCATCACGCTTCTTCTTCTATCAATCTCCTGCAGCTGAAGCTACGAAAGAGTCAGCAAAGACCGTGACACTGATTCAGTTGCAGCTCACCTGCAATCGTTCGATCTCTGAGTTTGAGGTGGAAAGTTCAGAAGAACGTGATCGGCTTGAAAGTACTTGAACATCCGGTGGATTCTGTTGCACCTGATTGAACGCCTCGGGATCACTTGGCATCGTGGTACTCGAGTCTGGCAGCCTGAGAGGAATGTTGTTTCTTCCACGATCGCTGTCAGGTTCACCAAGTCCTCTCAGTGATCTAGTCGAGTCCTGTAGTATAGATGATAATGATGCGATGTCGTCCTTCTTGGGCAGTGACCAGAGCTCAGCGGTCTCTCGCCACACCGGTCTGCTCGCACTGGGAACAGTGTTTGGCCTCGTTCTGTTCAGAAGCGGAACTCTCTCGTCTTCTCTTTTCAGCGATTGAGTTGCACTTTGTTGAGAGAGGAGAAGCAACTTCCATTTGTCACCCGCTGCGATGTCTAATGAAGAAATCAAACTTTGACTTACAAGTGAGAGATCTGCGACGGTGTTGATCCTGCGCCCATGCAGAGCCGCCAGCGTGTTGTACTCCACACCATAGCGCAGAAGAAGTACCGCAAGCGCCCGATCCATGTCCTTCATATCCCATATTGTTGCACTTCCAGGATGGGGCAATGGCTCATGAAAGCTCTGAGAATCGTTCCAGCTCTTCTTTGATAGTTTGAACAGATGCCGGGACATCATGACCTCCATCACTTGCTTGCATTTCATGGGCATCAAGATCTGGTTGGCTCTCATCAAAGACTTCGAATACAATTCCTGCTTTGCTCTATGCATTATAACCTTAGAGTCTCGTTGTAAAGGCAAGCCATCAGCTGACCATGAAAAGGTTCTTGCTTGTCCATCCTGAGACTGAGAATGTGAGAACTCTGCCGCCAACTGTGATTTCATGCTGCCACACTTGCAGACCTCTTCTCATTCAAGTCTCTTCCTCAGCTGGTCTTCAACCTGAGTCCTCTTGCTGGGAGAAGCATCTTTGTTCTGTCAGGCTTTGAAGAGGTCATATAAGAATTTCATATCTTTGAGTGTTACAATTTTCAATTGTCACAGGCTGAATTTGAGAACAGGCTGAAAATTGTACCAAAATCTTCAACGGTCAGTCATTTGACAAGTCACACCACTGCCAAGTGACGGCGCGGCCGGGCCCGGCGGCGAACTTCATCATACACCGTGGCACGGTGACAGGCGGAGTCGGACGGTCACAGTGGAACTAACTTCTCACTGAGTTCTAGAAAGGTTGAGGGCATCTCTACGAATCAAAGCTACTAGTTGATTTGAAATGGTCATCATATCTCTGACTTGCTCAGATGATCGGATCATTGGTGGCACAGTCATAGGCTTCATTGAAGGAAGATAATCCTTTTAATCTAAAACATACTGAAGCACACGGGAAAAGATAGCGCAACTAGTTTTCGAGTCGAACTTGCAGAAGGACTCTTCAGGCTTTATCAGTACCTGTCTGACATACAGTGTCAGTTGTTAAATTAAATGACTTAGTATGAAAAAATCAATTACACCTATTTTCCAGCCTTGTCTGGTTTCATCCACTTTGCAAGCATTTTCGCTTCCTCTCCCTACGGTATGCAAATCATCGAATCATATGCAAACTTTGAGCCGAGTCTCACAGTCTCAGCGTAGATTTCCTTGATCTCATCCAAGTTGGCCTTGACCTGTTTTACATACAGAGCTCAGGGGGCACTCATCTTTGAGCAGCAAGGTACCTTGTCTTCCTCGGCCTTGGGATCAAATTCAGAAATCTGGGACTTAACAGTTTCGTTTGAGCTTTAGAATAATTTCCAGTCAGGCGAAATTCGTTTCAACAACAGTGCTTGTTCAACCTCTTGGCAAAAGTAGCAAAAGCAGTAGCAATGGCCCGGCTGAGGTCCTTCTCTTGTCCTTCTCCTAGCCTACATGATACATTCACTGACTCGCAATTTGCACTCAAGTGAAAGCGCACAATCCAAGCTTGGTTGTCTTGGCGTGTGCTTGAGCGAGCTCCTTCACGACCTCTTGTCAACACAGGTCCTAAACTTCAACACAACACTCACGATCCTTCCCGACAGGATGTTGCGGATATCATCTTCCTGCGTGCTATCGCCCGCATTGGCATTGGAAACGAACGCTACTGCACATGCTCCCAACACAATCTTCAGGGATATCAGTTAAAAGAGTATCTTCACAAGACCAAGAAAGTACCATGGAGACAGCAGCTGCAATCTGCGAGTTTGAAAGAATTCAGATGACATATCCACATTTGTCAATTCAGAATGTACAAGGAGAGACTTGCAAAGTCAATAGGGGGAACAGGTTGGCAGAGGGAGAGAAGTTGAGACAATGGTATATCATAGAAGCAAACTAGTAGGACCTGGAGGCGTCGCTGGCGCCATGGCGTGGGAGTTGGGTTCACCTTTTCCTCCACCATCAATCGCTCACCATCGCTTCCAGCCAGCATGTTCTATTTCCGCTGCTTCTTTTTCGGGTGGCCTTCCGACTACCCTCAGTTTGACTCATACCACCCACCCATTGCAGCTGACCACCCTCAGCGACTCAGACAACAGTGCCAGGCTGACTCCGGGGTAGGGTCTCCGACTGAGAAGGGTTCACTCACAAGGGATCCGATTATCATCCGATGATCAGGGGCCGACGAGTCGCCCGGCGGGTCGGGTCCGATCGCCGGGTGGCCCCGCGGGCCGGGCCCGGCGGCGCGGCCAGTCACTGAGTGCCGGGGTACCGTAGGGTGGCACGAGACTCGCTCACCGGCGTCACGGCGCGGTCACTGCCCGGCGGGGTGCCGCCGACTGATCCGATGATCCGATCCCGGTGACCCGGCGTGCTCTCCTTCTCAGCCTGGCCGACTCGTCAGGCTGCCCGCCACACAGGGGGGCCTGAACGAGTCACTCATCGGATCAGTCCGAGTCCGAACCCTCGCCGGAAGACTCGGAGACGCGGCGGGCCCTCAGTCAAAGTTCCTGCCCGGCCTCTTTTCTTCAAGGCCCTTGTTTTGAGTCAACCGGCCGGGTTTTCATTTTTTTATATATACTTGTTTCTGGTGCGGACTCGCTGCTCATATGTTCATGAGCTTTCCCATTTGAGTAAACCTGTGGATAGGACAAAGGACAGGCATGCAGAACCAGTGGAAGAAGGTGAGGTGGTCGATGAGAGATGAGAGAAGGAGGATCCTGTGAGGTCGACACCTGAGTTGGCAATTCCCAACACATTCTGATATCTTGACATTCTGTGCTGCTAGAACGCGTTCAGTGCCTATCTAAGATATGGAACAGGTGCTCTTGATGGGCAAGAGCAATGCGGGGAAAACCTCGATGAGGTCGATTATCTTTGCGAACTACATTGGTAGAATTGTGATAATTCTTGCTGGTTCCACGTGTGGTGACATGATGTGTTTCTAATCATCAGCTAGAGAGACTACAAGATTGGGATACACTCAGGTTCAAGAGAACCCACGACAGGGTACCTAGGTGACTCTGTGTGCAGGATGTCGAACATTCGCATGTCCGTTTCCTTGGGAATTTAGTTCTCAATTTATGGGATTGTGGTGGGCAAGAAGCATATATGGAATCATACTTTGAGTCACAGGTATTGTTTAATTTCTTTGGCGCATGGGCTGAAAGTTTGCTTCATAGCGCGATCATATTTTCCGAAATGTTGCAGTCTTGATTTATGTATTTGATATCGAAAGTCAGCAGATGGCCAAAGATATGCAGGTATGCAAGGATGTTAGTTCTGTTATATTGATTTGTCTTCATTTTTAAAGTACTTCACGCTCTGCATCGATGCACTCAAAACAAACTCCGAGAATCCGAAAGTGTTCTGTCTGGTTTGTTAATTTCCTGCGTTTTGCGCCGTTGAATTCTCTGTGAAGGTCCACAAGATGGATCTTGTACCTGAGGAGACCCGCGACCAGGTGTTCGAGAAGCAGGTTTCGAGCTCTTACGGAGTTGTGGAGTGAAACTGATGTTGCTGCAGGAGGCCCTCATCCGAGGGGTGGTGGGTTCTCTGGATACCACATGCTTTCAGGTTCTCCTGCTCTGATTCATTTAGCAACTCACTCAGCGCGAAAGACCTCCATATGGGACGAAACTCTTTATCGGGCCTGGTCGCAGATTGTCTACAGGTTGATGAAGATTCGCAAGCTAAAGAGCTTAATCTGCCCTGCAGCTTGATTCCGAACGTTGCTGCACTGGAAAATCATCTTGCTTCCTTCTGTCAGGTATCGAGACCTTGCAATGCTGACAACTTAACCTACCGTTTCCTCTCAAAGGGATGTGGAGCAGATGAAGTAGTTCTCTTCGAGCGAGCAACGTTCTTGGTAATCTCTCATTCCACTCAAAAGGCGTTTCGAGACGTCCACAGGTGTCAACATAGCGCCATGTCTTTTATCCTCTTTGATTCTGTTTGAAAAGATTTGAGAAGATTTCGAACATCATTAAGCAGTTCAAATTATCTTGCTCGAAATCGCAAGCACAATTTAACAGGATGCAGGTGTGTCACACAATGTCGTGTTGCGCTGCAGAGGGTCTAATGCAGAATTCAGATCAAAAACAGCAAATTTACTGCCATCATCGATGCGTTCACCCCGACCACCTGCATCATGGTTGGTTTTGATGCAGTCAACAAGCCTTTCTTAATGAAATTTGCTTGATCAGGTAATCTGTTCGGATCCAGCAGCTCTACCGGCGATGACGCTTGTGAACATCAACAATGCAAGATCTTACTTTGAGAAGCATATTAGTATGGATATAGGAGGGGAGGCGAGCAGCGGCAAAGCCGTCTGAGCAAGTTGCCACTTGAATGAATGTAATTTGACGGTAATCGGCCGGGCCCGGCCCGCGGCGGCCGCAGCCTCAGACTCCCACTGAGCCTTCGGCAGATGGCTGGCAGGCTGAGCACGTGACTCACGGCGGGCAGCACGGCTGTTGCAGCACTGCACTGCACTGTGACTGGCACTGCAGTTCGGAGTTCATTCCGCCGCTGAGTCAAGGGCAGGCGGACTCTGAGGCGGGTTCCGGGGTAGGAATGAGCGGGGATGAGGGCCACCAGCTGGCAGAGGCTTTGAGACGTTGGCGGGATATGGAGGGGAAGGGGAAACGACAAGAGTCAAGAACAAGGAAGGCAAGAGAAGACAGAAGAAGAGATGAGAGAAGAGAAGAAGAGAGAAGAAGTCCTGAGGGCAGCGAACAAGAGAAGAGATGGGAAGAGAGCAGGAGGAAGGAGTCAGGATCACAAGCACGAGTAAGATGACCAAGGGAAATATGCTGAGAAGATTAGATGGTTCGAGAGCTTGAAGTGAGACTCTAGAGGATCCTCTACTCGGCTATATGAGTAAACCATCTGGTGAAGAAAAGAGACATGTCCTGGGTATTAGTAAGGCACATAGAAGACGGGAGGGAAGCTTATTTCTAATGAGATATTAGCTGTGATGAACAAATGGGGAAAGAGCATTTCAGAGTATAAAAACTAAGACTGACTCAATTTGCTCACAAGATGTCTTCCGAGGATGCAGCTCTGTCCGCCATCTACAAGGCCGCAGATGCCCTTCTAGATGTCAATTCAAAGTTGACGAGCGAAGGAGTAGACGAATTCTCAGCTGTACTCAATCTTTTTCTTGTTACAGTTTTCTTTGTGACATAATGGCAGAACGCTTCTCACTTTCAGTGCATGATGGACAATGCGAAAGTTGGTCCCAAGTGCAAGCAACTCGCTTTGAATGTGTTGCCGAAGTACGTCAGCAAGTTTCCTGAGATGGCAGATTCTGCCCTGGATATCCTCATCGACTTGTTCGAGGAGAGCGACAAGGTAATAGTATGCTTTCACAATTTTTTTTCGTGACGTTTTTGTTAGTATCACCTCAAAGCCATTCAAGGATTCCGTGTCATTGCCAGCTCAGCTTCCTCTCCCGTGATCTCCAAGCTGGTGGGAGTTCTTGGACAAATCATTTTGTCAGAGGATGAGAAGGAAGTTGAAGCAGTCAACGATGCGTTGGTTCAAGCTTTAGAGAGGGATGTGAAAGCTACTCTTTCAGCGCTGTTTGAACAGATGAGCTCAGATGAACAGCTTCGGAGCAAAACGACATCGTTCATTCAGAGAGAACTCATACCACGGGCAAACTCCCTTCTGAACTCATCTGATGAAGTACAATCTTTTGTTTCGGAAAACTTGAAAAGAATCATGGGCTCTGGCATCAATTCAAAGGAATTCAATCTGTTCATGAAAGTTTTGTTCTGCATGAACAAGTACAAGAATGGAGAGGAGGGAGCTAACGAGCTTTTGGACTTTGTTCACACGTCTATCGATCTTAATTCGGACTTTTCTCCGAATTCAGATCAAGCGGACAAATTCATTCTATGTGCAGGCAGCGCAAAGCTGATCTTCCAGCACGGTGCTTCACCATACAAGCTTTTCAGCTATATTTCCAAGAAAGTTCTGCCTAAATTTGAAGAAATGAGCGAGACTCATCAAATAAGCTTGCTGAAAACCGTTGCTGAAATTTCTCCATTTGCGCTAGGATCGTCAGCGAGAGAGTGAGCCTTCTTTGCAGTGACTCAGTCGAACACTGAGGTGTGACAAAATTGTCAGATGCCTCCCGCATCTCTACCCACTGTTCTTTTCACATGTTCCGAAGAAGACTGAAGCAGAGGAAAAGATAAACTTTCTCGCTGGGGAGTGCTTGCTTTATGCATTTCACCAGGTCCATTCACGATATCTTCCAAGTGCTCCTGTGCTAACTTGCATGATGTCCAGCTTGGATCGAAAGTTCCTGGGTTCCTTCATGCACTTTGTGGAATCAAGATCAACACAGGACAACCAGAAAACAGGTCTGTAGTACCTCACGTGGTAGTGCATTGATGACTCGAGACCTCTACAGATTAGATGAAGATTTCAGCGCAAAGCTCAATCAATTGCACACTTCCTTATCCTTGATGCTTTCAGAAAGCAAAAAGTTTGCAGCAAAGCTTCGAGAGGTAGTTTCCTCCATGATGAATTTTCAGACTGAATGGTAGCCTGAAGGTTCAAAAGAAATTGAATGAGGAAAATCCGACAACGGATAATGCCAAGAAAGAACTACAGACCAAAAAAGAATCCTGCTTGATGTCTTTGAAGTCCTGCACGGTATCTCAACCTGTGCTTTGCATATCATTTCTTATTGTTGGAACAGAACATCATCGCCATGGCAAACAGTTTGAAGGAGCTCAACTTGAAGGATCCCAAATTCTTGGCAGAGAAAGCTGCAGTCAACCTGTAAGAAATTCAAGATAGAACTTTGCTCTTTTGACGTGTTGCAGATCGTTTAAAGCGAACAAACAAGGACAGGCTGTTGGCAATAAACGTCGCCAAGACTCCAGCAACAGAGGAGGAGGCAATGCTGACCGCCCTGTGAAGCGGCAGGTAGGGCATAGAGCTGCTGTTAAGAGTTGGCCTCACTCTTGTGCAGGCACAAGCGACCAATGGCGGAGGGCGACCAATGCGCGGAAGCGGCTCTGGTGCTGGGTTCTCAGGACGCGGGCGAGGAGGTGATGTTGTTGTGTTTCTGTGCCAGTCCGTTTCCTCACGCTCTCCTCCCTTGCCAACAATAGGACAATTCGGAGGGCAAGCAGGCGGCCGAGGAGGACGAGGCGGCGGAGGCGGGCGAGGTGGACGAGGACAGGGAATGATGTACGGTCGAGGAGGCAGAGGCGGACGTGGGGCGCGAAGATGATGCGATACCGAGGGAGGAAGTGAATTTCTTTCAACACCATGACAATGCCGCACTCCTCGTGATTCTCATTGAGTTAACAAGATTTTGCTTTAAAGATTTCAACCCCATCATGATTGCGGGCTGCTCATTGCTGTGCTAGGGTCGATGAACCAGTCGGAGTAACTGCCGTACATTTGCACGAGCCCCCCGCTGGGAGAGAACCCCAGCTTAGTAGCTTGTATCTGCGACCTCCTTCGCTTCCCCTCGTCTGGCGTCAACATCAGAGAATCCGGTCCAGACTTGTCTGTAGGAGATGAAGGCTTTGCTTCCTTTGCCCAACGAGAAAGGCAGTCTTCGAATGTCGTGAGATTCCTGATCATGGGCTTTGACTGACGCACGTACTTGCAGAAAGGACCTGTATACTGAATGATGTGGCTGTATTCTGTCATGTCAATCAATTTCATGCCTTTGCACATTTCAAAAAACTTTACCCTTGTTCCGGAACTTATCTGCGAGCTCATCCTCTTTGATATCTGCTTCGGGTTTAATCTGCACATTCAAAGAGATTTTATGCGTCTTGGGTGCAAACAAATAGTTCTTGCGGCTTTCAGGAAACTTGGTGCTTCTTGACAACCTTTCAGCCCGTAAAATCTTGCGCGAAATCTCATCGTTGATCGCTGTGAAAGTATCTGATGGCTTTGCTTCACTTTTCTTTGCCACAGGGTGGTGGTGCAAGGGTACATGGCTAGGGAAGATGTAACTTCTGTGTGGTGTGATCAGATCTGTTACGACGGTACGCGGAAGCCTCTCTTCAGTGTTGATCAAGTCCAAGGTGTGCAGTACTTCTTTTGAATTCACTCGTTCAATTCTATTCTGTGCTTGTGAGTTCTGACTAAATCTGGGTGCTGGGAAGTCATCCTCTTCATCTTTTACAATTTCATTCGCGATACGAAAAATGTCTGTGGTCCGATAAAGCTGCGACAATCTCTTGTCACGCATTCTAATTCTGGCTTCTGCGTGATTGCATCTTCCATGAAAGCTCTTCACTGACACCTCAATGTGCTGGTAATCACGACCCACTGCAAGGCAATCGCTTTATTTTCCCACAAATCTGGCACGGATTGGTGTTGAAATTCAATCCCCTTCCCAGTGAAACTATCACCTCTTCTGTTCTTTTCTCCTTCTCTCCACCTCTGATCTATGCTTTCTTCTCATCTCCTGCTCATCGCAGCCACCATCGGGTAGATTCCCTTTGCTAATTCTCAGTTAGGAGATAGGTCCACTGTGGCCCTTGCATACCCCCACCCTTCTCATCAAGTACCCCACCTTCCCTTATGAAATTACCCCCCTTGTTCACTGTGCACACTACCCTTCATATCCTTTCAAACTACCCTATCACTTGCCTCTTCCTGTCAGTACCCCTACCTGTTTTCCATAGCTCTTACTCACGGGTCCTCGACGTCTGTCGATTGCTGCCGATCTATTTCGGGACAGGACAACATCGCAGACGAAGAGCAAGGCACAGCAGAGAAAATGAAAGAAACCTGCTGGTGCGGCAGATAGCCTAGTCGGGCTCCTTGCAAGTTGAAGGAGAGATTCAAATTGAAGAATTATTCGCAGTTTTGCATCATGTTATTAGTGACAACTTGCGTTGAATACATCAAAATCAAGACAGGAATATACTGAGTGTTAGACGAAATGAGCGAAGCACTGAGTGAAACTTAGCGGCATCAACAGCGAGAGATAATATGGATAAGAAACCTTAGCATCATATTCTACTTCTCCGACTTTTTCAAAGGATTTGTGTTGTATACAGTGCGGGGGGGCAGGATTTGTGTTGTATACACAGCACTGCACACAACACGTTGTACATTGTGTATACAACAATTTGTTCTAGTTGCTGATTGAATTTGTAGATTTGTCCTGATAATTGACTTGTTTTTTCATTATTTGGTTGGTACTCTCAATCGAGTCAATAGGAATCTTGTTCTGATCCAGCATGAATTTGACGTTCTTACAGATGTTTGGAAGCCTCACTGCTGTCTTTGGAAACAAGCAAGAATTCGAGTCTCTCGACTTTGTATAATCGCGCTTTCTGCTTCCAATTTGCTGACACGACTGTATCTGCAGTGGCCTGATACCAACATGAACGGATATGCCTATTTCCATCGCGTTGACCGAACCAATGGAGGCGATGTCAACGCCACTCATCACACTGGTTACGCAAAGAAGCACCCCTTTTGGTATTAATCGCATATGACCTCAATGGTCTGATGTTTTGTGATTAATTAAATTACGCTGTTTTGCTATTTTTGCTATGTGTCTGTAAGTGAGCTTAAATGCTTGTTCGTGTGCCACGTGTCAAGAAGGTTATAACAAATATAATGTTCTTTGAGCAAACTTGGCGAAAGTATATCATTCTACAACACCAGAGATGATTTGTCCCCATGTGATACAATGCAATATCCTCTTCAGGTTGAGAGTGACACAAAACCCAATGTTTTGTATTTTGTGCTCCAATGGAGTCTTTGCGATGTTTTGATAATCACCTTATGCCTTGGATTCCTGAGTGCGTTCTCATAGTAATTTGCCATCACCAGAATAAGAATCGAACTAAACATCTGAGCATATTCGAGGATAACCTAGATTTGAATGATGTGTTCATGTTAGATCATATAGACTTTACTAAATGATTGAATGTGATGCCATTTTCTCCGTTGATTGAACGTGATAATCACCTCCTTTGTTTGGCAATGTTGAATCACAATATGTGCAGATTGTAATGAACCGCTTCTCAACTTTGGGCTTAGTGATGTCTGTTTCTATGTCTTTGATCTTGTACAAAGGCACGGAAGACTTTAAGACATCTTGGAAGAACTGGACATCGCATTGAAACTCATTTCAGAAAAAACTTGCACATTTTTATTCTCATACAAACACTATTTAGACTTGAGTTCCGCGAACATCATCCTCAGCCTCCTGTTGCTGCTCAGGCTGTCTCACAGCTCCCCACACAGCGCCGATAGGCACTCCGTAGATGGCGCACTCCTGAGGAGTGAGCTTGTCTCCAGGGAGCTCAGGAGGAGCATTGATGACTCCCGGCATCGAAAGAGGAGCACCGGGCATCAACGGGGCACCAAAGGAAGGAAGGAACGCTGGAGGAGCTACATTGGAAGCAACAGGCGCCTGGCTTCCGGAAGCGTTCTGATTGGGAGCCTGAGAGAAAACAGGAGCCCCAGGGAGGAATGGTGCTCCAGAGATCAAAGGCGCTCCAGCCATGATAGGAGCTCCAGACATCATGGGAGCTCCAGAGATAAATGGGGCTCCAGCGACGGGACCAGACACAGGGAGGGACGAATACATAGGAAGGGATTGCGCCATGCTTGTGGGAACTCGCGTCGGCAGCAGCCCACCCGTAGGAAATAGAGGCACGCGCTCGTTACACCTTTACTACCCACCCCCTCGATCCCTGCATTCACCCCACTTACATGAAAAGTTACCCACCCCCCTTATCTTCCCTGAACCCGTCCACAAACCTACCTTGAATACCAACACCCCCCCCACCCCTTCAAATTCCGATTCCAACGTTCATTCTACCCCACCTGTACCCACCCATAGAAAGCAAAACTTCAACCCCCCCTTCTCCACCCCCCCATCCCCACCTCCTTCAGTTTGACCAGGAAGTCAAGGCCTTCTACTCAAGCATTCCATCGATAGAGCCAAAGGTCTTTTACTACTATCCTTCAGGCTGTCGATGAGCATCCGCATGCAACTCAGCTCATCAGCTATTTGTCCTACCCCCACCCCTACCACGTAGTATCACTGCAGGCCTTGAACCCCCGGCCCTACATCCCTGACGGTGCCCCCGGCATCATCACCACCCCCGTTCTCCCCATTTCGGATTTGCTTTAACAAAAGTACCCCTACTCATTATTGTTCACTTCCATCGGATAACCGTGCCAGAGGAGTACCCTGTCATTGCGTACCCTCCAGTTCTAGAATTTTCCAACCTACACCCCCTCATTTCCTGCCCCAAAAAAGAAATTTGAAAATTTGCATGAAGGTTGTGGAGAAAGGTTCAAATATTGTCTCACACAATGTTGAGAGATGTACTTTGTGAACGAATACCGAACTATTGCATCGATTGGAGTGACTCATTCATGGGGTACCCCCTGGCTTTAGCGAGCCTCTGTACCCTTGCTACCCCACTCCCGGGGGGTAGACCGTACTACCCCACCTGATAGCTTCGTGTCTACTCACTCTACTCATTGGACGGACCGTTCCAGGTTTCCGATCGGATATTCGTTCCCCCACCCTTAGGCCCTGGTATTGAAATTACTCAAAATATAAGGACCCTACCACATCAAATGTGTTCAACTACCGGGTACATCAGAGTTCCTCCTCAATTGAGTATATCGCATTTAGTAAGACTTCGCCAGTGAAAATCCCGTTGGAAAAAAAAGTTTGAAACTTTCTAACTGAAAGCCTGTTTTGAGTTCCAGGTTTGTGAACTTGTGATCAGATAGGAAGGCACAGAAACACAGAAACACCGTCACCGGGCAGAAAACTGCATCCGGCGGCACAGAAAAGTTTCAGGTCAACAAGGGAAGAATGAAGCCGAATATAAATGACAAGAGCGCAATACTGGCAGACAAACTTACAGGTCCTTGCACATGTGGCCGCGTCATGTACTAGAGTCAAAAAAAATCTTCGATGATGACTCAGTGATTGAATGCATTCGCCCAACTTGACACACAGACTAGTAAGTGAAAATGCCAGCTCCCGAGTCCATCGGAGCAGGCCGGGCCCCCCGTTTACACACCATGGAATGTGCGCTCAGTAGTCGCCCCAACACAGATGCGTCTTACCTCCGAGGCTCGTAGTTGGGTGAAGGCAAGCCTGGAACTTCGGAAGGGTCCAACCTATCGACAAAGAGGACTCCCGGCGCCTGAGGGCCGAACAGCCTCCTGAGCGCCGCCTCCGAACGAGGCTCGGGCCCGGCCCGGCCCGCTGCCTCACTGGTAAAGGGACCGGTGCGGGCTTGCGACTCATACCGTCACCGTAGGCTGGGCCGCTCGGCGCTTTTGTGGCGTGTTATCAATAGTGGAGATGGGGGGTAGGGGTTCAGATGTGACGGGTAAAGAGAAATCTGGCAGGGGTGGGGGTCTAAATTTATGATCATGGAACCAACAGAAACTTATTGAAAGAGCGGACTCTTACTCTACTGGGGTAGAGAAATGATGGGTAGTACTGGATTTGTTGATGGTCAGGGTAGAATTTGTATTTTTAATCCGGGGGTAGGGGTAATCATACAGAGAGGGGAGGCGGGTACGAAGGGGGTCAAGGATGATGCGTCACAAGGAATTCAGTCGTCCAAGAGCTTCAGGGGGTGGGGTGGCACTCAAATAGGTGGTAGGGGTTAATTAGTACCCGTACATTATATTCCTTTTCATGGTAAAAATAAGGGGTATGCATGAATATATGATGGTAGGTTAATGATGACCCTACGAAGTTCCGTGGTCCAACCTGCACCCGGCCCCCATCGAACAACCACCGCAATGCTGCGAGCTTTGTCTGCAGCCGCATGCGCCGCTGCGATGCTCGCATCTGCTGATGCCTTCCTCCCCTCAACACCGCTCTCAAATGCCGCAAAGATTCGCCCTGCTACATCTCGCATCTCGACCATTATGTCGGGTGAGCCAGTGATCAAGCTGGGTACCAGAGGTTCTCCTCTTGCCCTCGCGCAAGCTTACGAAACGCGTAGAAGACTCGCAGAGTTGTTTCCAGAGGAGCTTGGAGAGAAGGGCGAGAAAGTCTCGATCAACATCATTAACACTTCAGGTGACATGGAATTGAGTAAGGCTCTCTCGGAGATTGGGGGAAAGGGATTGTTCACCAAGGAGCTCGACGTCGCGCTTCTCAAGAAGGAGGTGGACTTCTGTGTTCATTCGATGAAGGACGTGCCAACATATCTTCCTGATGGTACTCACTTGGAAGCAATGCTCCCGCGTGAAGATACCAGAGATGCTTTCATCTCTCCCAAGTATCAGTCCTTCGAAGAAATGCCAGAAGGAACAGTCATCGGCTCTGCTTCCCTCCGTAGGCAGGCACAGATCTTCGCAAAGAACCCAAAGATCAAGTGCGTCAACTTCAGAGGAAACGTTCAAACGCGTCTCCGCAAACTTGATGACGAAGTTGTGGATGCCACGCTTCTTGCACTTGCAGGACTCAAGCGCATGAACATGGCAGATTGTGTCACGAAGGTCTTGGATTGGGACGAGATGCTCCCTGCTGTTGCCCAGGGCGCTATTGGCATCCAGGTTTGAATGGCAACAAAAGGATGCAACTTGCGATGATCAGTTTTCACAGGTTCGATCTGACGATGATAAGACCTTGAAGTATATCAGTGCTCTCAATCACAAAGATACGAAGACTTGTGTTGATTGCGAGCGTTCATTTCTGGCAACTCTTGATGGATCTTGCAAGACCCCCATTGCTGGTCAAGCAAGAATCATTGATGGAAAGATTCACTTTAGGGGTCTTGTTGCCTCACCTGACGGAAGCAAGATCTTCCGTGCAGAGAGGTGAAGATTACCTTGACTGTTTGTCTTGTATTTGATTGTTTTCACTTCTGCAGGGTGGGTGACGTGTCAGACTACATGAAGATTGGCAAGGACGCAGGAGAGGAGATTAGGAAGGAGGCTGGAGAACAATTCTTTGCTGATCTGCTCGAGTATGTACAGGATATCCAAGCTGCCAACACCAAGCCAACCAAGGCTGCGGCGAACAAGTGAAAATGATTCGAACAATTCAATTCTATCATGTCCAACATCTGTAAGCTTATTCGATCAGTTCGAAACGTCTTGCGAAGCATTTGTGTTCAGCAGCTGAGGGGACTTCGAGCCTATCAAGCGCTTTTAGGAGTCATCATGGATTCTTCACGAATGTGAACAGACTCACATGTCTCTGGTGCGGTTTGAGAACGTGCAGCAGTTCATGTCCCATGGCCTGTGGCATTGTCAAAGAAATAACTTGAGGAGAGAGAGTAAAATTCATAGAATCACCACGTTGTATCCTACATTCAAAAGCTCTACGACTTCGATCTGCGATTGCGGTCTTGCGAAGTGTTTTAACGAGATGCTGGTGAAGCACATTGTTTCAGTGGACGATTCAACTGTTTCTCTTTCGCACCTCCCCGATGGCGGGTGAATGTCACGATCGTGGAATCTACCGAGCGGGTCTAAAATTGTTCGCACGGCGACGTCAACCAAAGGCTCCATGGGCGTCGCCAGATGCTCAACCCCACCATCTATCCAAAGCCCCCTCCAGCCCTTGTGCCATGAGAGGATGGGCATGGCAACAAAGCCTGGCAGAGCCATGGAGGCGACAACAGCATCGATGAGTTCGTCATTGCTTGAAAACTCGCTGACGAAGCGCATCGAAAGGAGCGGCCAAGAGCAGATGGCAATGTGATATCGACCCGAGACTTGTTTGTAAAAGTCTGGCGGCAGCAAATCCTCCATCAACAGCCTGATAGGATGCAGTCGGTTGCAAAACCCGAAAAGCGGCTCCCGCAGGTGCGCACACACCATCGACTTCCACAGGCGAGGGTAGTGAGTGCGCAGCAGCAGCGAGGGATCCTTGTCTAGAAGAAGACAGATGGCGGATACGTTACCTGCACTGATGGCAAAAACTTCACATTTCTGAGCAACATCGAACTGCTCGTGGATGTACTTGCACACACCAACCTCAAATGCAAACGCCCATCCAGCACCATCAAAGAAGATGCGAGGTACGCCCTCCTTTCGCTTGCTGGGTTCAGGAGGGACACTTGACTTGAGTTTGCAGACGACCAGAACAACTTTGGATACTAATACAAAAACTGATGGCACGAACAGAACCAGGAAGACACCAATGGACAATGCCAAGTGCACGAGTGCAAGAAAGGGTCTGAGCACAACTGTCCATGTGCAGCACTTGATGTCTTCCACTTCAAAATCAATTTCCAAGGGTCTCTTATCTTCGAGGATATCGTCTTTGTTATCACTGTAAACATCTACCACGCGTATCGACTCTTCCGTGTCCAATGTGGGCACGTCCTTTCGGTCCAATGGTGACAGTTCATCTTTAAGTTGGAGTTCAATCAGGTGTGGCCTTAATATGCCAAGTTCGATGTCGTTGGCGGGTACTTCAGCGTCGCAGGCCTGATGTTCTGACATATCTCGTGCAACTTTCTAGCACGAGTCACTGACTCTCCAGGTTCACATCTGATTGATGGACGGTATTCTGAAGCTTGTTCTTATACGGTTCTGAAGCTTGTTCTTATACGGTTCTGAAGCTTGTTCTTATACGGTTCTGAAGCTTGTTCTTATACGGTTCTGAAGCTTGTTCTTATACGGTTCTGAAGCTTGTTCTTATACGGTTCTGAAGCTTCTGCTGTACTCTACTGTCATGTCCTCTATAGGAAACATCCACAGTGTCCGAACTGATTGCTACCTCATTTCGGTGACATACCCCCACCCCTTCTTTGTCTTATCGAAACGGGGTCCTTGAAATAAGTGCTTGTCTACCCCGTCCTTGCCCAGTGAAATTGGAGGTAGTGTTGCAGCCCCTCGAGGAGCGAGAGGAGCCGAATGCTCTGCAGGGTGACGAAGGAGCGAGCGACAATGACGAGAACATGCGCGAGGGAGGCGATGAGAGCATGCGCGAGTGAGGCGATGAGAACAAACATGATGAACTCAGAGGGGAGGAGGGGAGGAGGGGAGGAGGGGAGGGGAGGAGGAGAGGAGAAGCAGAGAAAGAACGAAGGAAGAAAAGAAAAATTCTGAGGGGAGGAAGACAAGAAGATACATGGATAACACAAAAGGAGGACATGACATGTTGGAAATAGAGCAGAGGTTGAGAGAAGTGAAGTGCACAAAAGAGTAACCAAAAGTTTGAACAAAGATTAAGGAGTCAGACTGGTTGGATCGAGCGGCAAGGTTACTTTTGACAACACATGGAAGCCGCTCGTCAAATTCTATCAACAATCGTTTGTTAATCGAATTTGAAGAGTGTAGGTGAAGTGAACTGAAAGAATACACGAGTTAATTGGGTTGGTGGCTGTAACAAGGACACAGCCAAATTTATGCCACTACACATGCGATCCGTTTGCATTCATACATTTGATCGCAACCTTTTCTGACGTTACCTCTCCCTACGACACTCACATTCCCTTCCTTGCAGGTTGGTCTTCGAAGCTGATAAAATGTCCGCTGTGGGTGAGAACCCAGCAGGCGCTGTTGCTCTCAAATCGATGAAAGATCAAGTTTTGTTTTCCTTCAAACGCACACACGAGATGTTTGCGGCAAATCATGGGTCCCGTCTGTCAGATATCGATGAAGCGAAGAAGTTGCGAATGTCGATGAAGCTTCGCGATGAATATTGGGTGGTTAAGGACTTGCCTCCTCCACAACCGGTCGCAACCAACAAAAGTGACAAGGCGAAGCCACCAGTTCCCATTTTGGAAGGTGAAGACAAAACAGCGAAAGAGCACTTGCAGAAGACAGCGATTGCGCGGGTGCACGAGGGAGACGACAAGACCAAAGCTGGAATTCCTGGTGGCAGTGGTGGGATGCAATTGGCAGTGTACAAGCCACAGGGTTCCAGCCAGGCTCTTACTGTACGTGGAGGCAAGGGCCTGAATATGCCACGACCGCAATGGCATGCGCCATGGAAGCTGATGAGAGTGATCTCTGGACATTTGGGTTGGGTTCGCTGTGTCGCCTTCGAGCCAGACAATCAGTGGTTCGTTACTGGCGCTGGTGATCGAACGTTGAAGCTATGGGATTTGGCTTCAGGAGAGGTAACTTAGAATATGGAGCAAGATTTTGTATATAACTTTCTATTGTGCAAAGTTGAAGATCACGTTGACGGGTCACATCAGCCCTGTCCGTGGTGTTGTGGTAAGTGATCGTCATCCGTATATGTTCTCAGTAGGCGAAGACAAGCTTGTCAAGTAAGTTTGAACTTGCAAGTTCTATCCATTCGGTGATGTTGGTGGGTGGACTACTGACTTCATTCTGATCAGGTGTTGGGATTTGGAATGCAACAAAGTTATTCGTCATTACCATGGACATCTAAGGTTCGTTGTCTCCTTGTATCCGGTACATTGTGAATCGTGATGGCTATTTGCAGCGGTGTTTACTGCTGTTCACTTCATCCAACTTTGGACGTCCTATGCACTGGCGGTCGAGACTCATCAGGTCTGCACGTGTCAACAATGTTTCGCAAGAACCATGACACCAGGCAGTGCGAGTGTGGGACATCCGAACAAAGAATCAAATTTTCTGCCTCTCTGGGCACAAGGACACAGTCGCAAGTCTCCTCACACAGGTCAGAACCTCATCTTATCGTTGGTCTGCTCAATTTCTTGCAGGGAGTTGATCCTCAGATCATCTCCGGCTCTCACGATTCCACCGTCAAGCTGTGGGACCTGGCGGCTGGAAAGGCCTACGCGACCCTCACGCATCACAAGAAAGGCGTGCGAGCTCTTGCGCTGCATCCAAACAAATATCTCTTTGCATCTGGATCTGCGGACAACTTGAAGCAGGTGAAGATCATGAGGCCTCTGCTGAGCTCAAGCTGACCCTCGCACAGTGGAAGTGCCCTGAGGGCGTTTTCATGAAGAACGTCGACCAAACGCCTTATCGAGCTGTGGTGAACTGTATGGCGGTGAATCACGACGACGTCATGGTTGCGGGATACGATAATGGATCGATCCGTTTCATGGACTGGAAGACTGGTTACAATTTTCACACTGAACAGACGCGGGTTCAGGTGACGCGAGCGTGAGATTTTAACACGCCCTTGTGACGTATCGGCAGCCTGGATCGTTGGAGGCAGAAGCAGGCATCTTCGACTGCTGCTTCGACAAGACCGGAACTCGTCTGATCACATGCGAAGCCGACAAGACAATAAAAGTCTGGAAGGAGGTAAACCAATGACATCGGTTGTTTTGTATGGTAAGGAACGTGCAGGACGAAAATGCCACCCCGGAAACACATCCCATTGAGTGGAAGGCTGTGGCACCAGGGACTGAGAAGAGATGGTAAATGTGTGCGGAGTTTTGCTCACAGCAGTTGTTGATCGGCAAGGATTGATTTCTTGACATGCTCTTCTGGAGCAAGTCATTTCATTGCATAGATCGCAGTCGCTTCAACCGTACGTGCCTCTTCTTTGTCGCCTCATCATCTTTCGCACCCGAGGAGGAAAGTTTTCGCAGTCCCTCTATCACCCGAGCATCAAAGTCCTTGAGTTTGTCTACCCGACGACTTGCGTGGCGATCCATCCGCGAGAGGAAGCTCTGCATGTCGTTGCGATTCAGCCGCGTCCTAGGAGCAGCCCCCAGCATATCCGGCTCGCCCTCCTCCTTAAGCTTCTTGTCCATAAGCTTCGCCTTCCTCTCCTCGTTCCACTTGTTGAGCCGCTTGCAAGAGATGTCAGTTGCACCCACCGGGAGCGAGGGAGTCACCTCGATGAGGTTGGACACGTCCTTGACGCTGCTGGTCTTCTGTCTGCCTGGCTCCGTGAATCGGAACCTGGGAGGCAGCTGAGGGATGGCAGTGTTGAGATCTCGTAACATTTCAGTTCGAGACTCGTAGACTTTCTTGCTTCCCGTGATCTTTATCGAAGATTTTCTTTGGGTTCCGTCCATGCCGAGCTTGCTATAAATCAAGTCAGACATGACGAGCAGGATGGTTGGAACCTGAAGAGCTCTTTCATTCCCGGTCTACGAATCTTCACTCGCGTTCCTTCCACATACAGCTTGCTCGCAATCGTCCTTGGCATTGCGATCTCGCTTTCTCCACGGTGAATCAGTCGCCACTGCCCGGTATCGCACGCTCCTTCCCTGGAGTCTCCGACTATGTGCGCATCGTCTTGGACGGCAGCAGAGCTTGGTGCGTATTCTTGAGCGTCTTCCTCCTGCTCGGAGCATGCTGATCGAGATCGCCGGAGGCTGCAGCAGCTGGGTCGCAGCTGTGGCTTGTGGTCGACCATTACACGGATGGTATCGTAGAGGCAGCGGTAGCAGAGCTTCTCAGTGACGGCGGTAGACGGGGACATATCTGGGCTCGAGTTGATCTCGATCAGCCAGACACGAAAGTCTCGATCGATGAGGAAGTCGTAGCCGAACAGCTCCGAGCTTCCCTTGCGGTTCTCCAGCAGGTCCTGTGCGCACATGACAGCCCAGATTGAGATGGACTGAAGCTGGGGGAGAATTTTTTCTTGCCAGACACTCTCCTGCAACTCAGTCACAGGCAGTCCAATAGGGTTGACTGCACCTGCCCCGTCGACGTCAGCCAGTTCTTGAAGGCGTCGAGATCCCACATCGATTCGTCTACAGCCTTTGTTGGAGCTACCAACACGCTCAAAGCAAAGCTTACCTCTCCTTTCTTCAAAATCTGACGCTTCTTTCTGCACACAATTATTACAAAGATGAGAGAAGCGATCGGTCAGAGTCTCTGAATTGTAGTCGGAGAGAGCAAAGCGAAGGTAACACTCGTCATAGAACCACACAGTGAGAGGATTCCAGTCGGTTACGAGAATCCACTGACGGATATCAAACTTCTTGTTGTTGATCAGCAGCGGGTTCTCGACGTACTTTTGCACAATCCATCTCTGCGAGTTAAGGCTACTTGCTCCCTTGCAGTGAGTGGTGAAGGAGAGAATGTCCGCGAGGCTTCTCTTGAGCTCAATCCCTCGTCCTCGAGACTTTCCCGCGGGTTTGACGATCCAGATATTCTCACCAACATTCATACAAGACTGCGGGTGATGATGAGAGATCCGCGAAAGTGCAGTGCGAGCTCGCGAAGCAAGGCTCTCGTAGTCTTGAACATGTGAGGAAGGAAACTTTTTGACACTTCTGCTCTCCACGTGCCTAGTGCCTTGTAAGAGAGCAACGAGACTCGATGCTTTCGTCGTCACGGCACTTTCGCATGTCTCTGCTATTTCTCCTCCTACTACGAAATGCACAGTTTCGACGGGACAAGGCTCTCCAAGGACTTCCGACCATTCTTGGGCAGACAATCTCGATCTTCCTGCTGTTGAAAGCTTGTCAGACAGGGCTGGTAATAAGCTGAGGACATGCCTGTTTCTTCGTCCTCTTCAATGTCTTCAAGGTCTATCGCTCGCACCAAGTCTTCACATGCGATCAAAGCCAAGACGGCTTTTTGAAAGTCTGGGGACTGGGTTGAAGGACGAGCGTCTCGAGGAAGCTTGTCTGCATGAGCAAGAAAGCTGGAGAGGAGGTTTTGAGCTGCGAGATTCATGAAATCTTCAACGAACGTGGCCACATCCTCTGAGTCATCGAGATCATAGCTCCTAGGAAAGAAGCTATCAGAATCAACGTCTTCAAACCAAGACAACGCTCTCAGGCTCTTTGAAAGTCCAACTTTGGTTGTCACATGTCGATTTTTGGCGAAGTGATTGACAATTTGATGAGGATTCAGCCTTTGAAAGTCAATTTCTGATGTCTTGACTGTCCATTTTAGATCAAACCCGAATTCATCTTTCTGTGTGCATTCTGACCAACCCCGGTCCAGAAGTGCGTCGCGAACTCCAGGAAAGTTACCACAGATGACGAACTTTTTCCTTGTCATGAATTAAATTTGGAATCAATACCTTCTTGACATTGTTCTTTGAGAAAGAAGAAAATCCTCCTTATTACAGTGATACAGTGCAGCAGGTTCAAAGTCTTACGTCGTTTCATATGTTCATTTCTGTATATTCCTCATCTTATTCGTAGGTAGATACTTTTGTTAGTGTGTCATTCATTTGCTTGCTGTCTGATGATTTCAAAGTTGTTGAAGAACATCTTCGAAGCATTCTTCCATTGTCGTTCTCATCGCTTTTTTCTGTTTCAACTACCAATTCCTGTGGAAGCCTTGGAAATCAGCGCATTTCCAACTGAAACACGACCCCCCCACCCCCACCCCTTGTACGACAGTATGGTCCCCTTCGTACTGATTTTTAACTTAACTTTGAGTAAAGATTGAAAGACTCCGCCGCCGGCCGCATTTTAGAGTTTCGGGTTTCGGGTTTAGGGTTTCTGGACCGGGGGTTGTAGTAGTAGTAGTAGTCGATTTTATTAGAATGCTAGAGTAGTTTAGGGTTTAGGGTTTAGGGTTTAGGGTTTAGGCGGTTATTCCAGGCACCATGGCGGTTATTCCAGGCACCATGGCTGCACGCGTGGTGTAGGGGAAGCTGCCAGGGCGCCAAGGAAGCTGCAAGCGAGAGGTTTGTATACTTCAAATAGCTTTCTAAGTATGGTTCTTCAGTATGATGAAAATGTTCGCAACCTGCTGTATCGGAGATCATGCCAATACACGCAGAGCGGACTTGTGGATGCCTCTGTCCTCGAAGCTGATCTCGTCGAGAGGGTGAAGAGCTTCGCGAAGCGTTATCCGAACAGCAGGACAGCCCAGGCTTGCAAGGCTGTGGAGGGATGCACCCCCGACGCTATCGCAGAAGCCATCCGCTCGACATGTCAGCAGGCACGACGTGAGCTTCTCCAAGAAGCGATGACTGGATGGAGTGACGCATCCAGAGAGTGGTTTATGCAGCAGATTGAAGAAGCCAAGAAAGAGAAGGTCGAGACATACACCGCCTCAGCAGGCAACGAGGTGACTTCCTTCATCTCCATGACTCTCCTGGGCATCTCCTCGGTGTATGTCAACCATGAAGAGAAGCTGAAGAAGAAATTTGAAGAGATCGGACTGATCGTAGACTCAGTGCAAGAGAGTAAAGCAATCATGTGGAAGGCTCCGTATAGACCCGAGATAGCGAGTGCTGAGGAGATCCCGGTGACTGTTTCCTTCCTCCGCAATGCACAAGCGGAGAAGCTCTGGCAGGGAAGAGAGGACTTCGCGATCGATGGTCGCAAGTTCACAGCTGTACATGTGAGCATCGTGCACGATCGATCTTTCAAGATTCGAGCCAAGAGAGGACCCTGGGGCAAAGGGGGCAGCTTGGCAGAGCTGACTCACCTGCTAACCTTGGGCGGCATGACAACGGCTGAGATAGCTGCCGTCTATCGCTATCAGCTGCTGCGCCAGTCCCTTGCAGCGGTCCAACTCCAGCCGCTGGCAGGCATGCTGGTCGCTGGGGCGCCAGGACAGCAAGTCCACAAAGGCTTAGGTCAGAAAGGCTTCATCGCTGTAGGGGCCAACGTCATCTGGAGACAGAGGGAGGTGGAGTGGATCGTCTCCTCGAGCTGCCCAGAGGCGAATGATACAGCATTTCGAGCTTTCCGAGAGAGCGAAGCGATGGAGGGAGTACACCTGACTCTGTTCAGCGAGGACCCGAAGATCAGAGAGGCGCTCGCAGTCGAGTTGACAGCTGATCGCTTTGTGTCCAGAAATAAGTTGAAGAAGGCATCAAGGATGCAGAAGAAGGCAGGCGGCAAGGACGGCAAGGAAATCAAGATCATCATCAAGTCGACGGCGGCATCTGGTCGCTTCACGAGGAAGGAGATGGAGGGGCTGTGCAACGGCGGCAACACGTCTATCGCAAGAGTCAAGAGAGTCTTGTTGGAGATCGCTAACAGGCTCGAGATCAACGTTGAAGGCATCGACATGGAGGAGGATTTGAACACCAAGTCCTGGAACGGGTCCAAGCTATGCATCCTCCTCGGCTCCACGGAGGATGCTCGACGCATGATGAAGGAGCTGCCCTTCTATCTCGAAGGCGCAGCAACCAAGCTCGAAGCAGTCGGCTTCGACAAGGAGCCTGACTCTGAGGCGGCTGGTCAGCGGGGCACCAGCGACGCAGCGCAGCGACAGGAGGAGAGCGAGGGAGAGTGGCTGGAGTTTACAGACCTGGAGAGGATCACAATGGAGGCAGCATCTCCGTCAAGCCAAGGGGACATGCAGCTCGTCAGCGAGCTGTCAGCAGTCATCGAAGAGGCAGCTTCTTTGAACGAGGCAGGGACGAGCGAGCCGATCAAGCTGGTCCTGGACAAGGCCGTTGGCAACCTCCACGACACGTTCTACTCTCCGGGGAGCCTGGAGTTCATGTCGCTGGGAGAGTGGGCGAAGATGCCAACGTTCTCAAGGAGAAGCTGGGGAAGTGGCTGCAGAGCAAGCGCTGGACTCGCGTGCAAGGAGAGAGCAAGAAGGCAAGGAGGGGCAGCGCGTTCTCGCCACGGGCAACGGCAGCTGCTGAGCTTGAGCAGGAGGCGGAGAGCGACGACATAGAGCGTCGATCTCTTAGCTTCCTGTTCATAGCACTGAGTAAATTCGCAGAGATGCATGTGCTGGCCTGCTCGCTGAAGGTGGACAAGAAGGACCGACTGCGAGTGGAGATGAGGGAAGATGACGAAGAAGAGGAAGACATGGAGGAAGAGCAAGGCGAGGGCGAGGAAGAAGACGGGGCGAGCCCGTACCGAGCTTGAGCTGAGCTCAAGGTAAGGAGAGAAGGTAGGAGGCGACCGAAGGCCAAGGTGAGGAGAGGCAACTCTCCTGACTGAGGCTGAGGAAGCTGAATGGAGGAGGAGTAGGGGGCGACCGAAGGCCAAGGTGAGGAGAGGCAACTCTTCTGACTGAGGCTGAGGAAGCTGAATGGAGGTAGAGTAGGTGGCGGGTTTAGGGTTTAGGGTTTAGGGTTTAGGGTTCCTTATTTCCTGGCAGGTTCCTTATTTCCTGGCAGGTTCCTTATTTCCTGGCAGGTTCCTTATTTCCTGGCATGCAGATTTGCGGTACCCCTGCGCTGGTGGAGTAAGAGCCGCCAGGAACGACGGAAGCTTGGGAAACCATTGAGAATGCTCCGAAGCATGTGGCCAATATCTATTGTGAACCCTGACGAGATCGTGCAGTACCGTACCTCCAGCTACCTCAAGAGGCAGACGGAAACTGGAACGATGCCGTCACCAGCTGAGCTTGTGCGACGACTGGATGACTTCGCAAGGCAGAATCCCAAAAGCAGGACGAGCAAAGCTCTGAAAGCCAAAGAGATATCCTTGGAAGCCTTAGCCGAAGCCATCAGTCACACATGCAGCTTTGCTGAACCTTCACCACTGGAGAGTCTGAAAGGTCTCGGGCAGTGGGGTGATGATGCCAGGCAGTGGTACCTGTCCGAATTTCTAGCAGACAGGCAACGGCAGATGGAGGCCAGGTCTTATGATGACCAGGGCACGAGTGTGCAGACGATTACCATGAAGGTACTAGGGATACCTGCATACTTCTCCAGACAGGTTGAAAACTTATGCGTCAAGCTGGAAGAGCAAGGCTTGATCGTAGATCAGACGCAAGACAGCAGGAGTTTGATCTTCAAGGCTCCCCTCAAGCCTGACCTGGCGAAGGCAGAAGAGATCCCAGCAGTGATCACCTTTGTCCGCAACGAGGCGGCAGAGAAATTCTGGAAAGGAGAAGGTACCTTTAAGGTGGCTGGAAGGAGGATCCTAGCAGTGAACCCAGCAGCCAACCCACCGATCTCGTTCAAGATGCGACCAAAGAAGGAGAACATGGGCAGAGTCGGAATCCTAGCGGAGGTGGCCCAACTCCTTAAGCTCAATGATTCGAGTACAGGTGATATATGTGAGATCTACAGGCAGTTGTGCTTGAAACAGGGCCTAGCAATTATCGACCTGATCCCAAACGCGGGAATGACAGTGAACCTCCCCCCCAAGAGGAACCTGCCGCCAAAGAAGGTGTTTGCAGCGGTAGGAATAGACACAGTCAACCAGAACAGAGAGGTAGACTGGATCGCGACTTGTTCGAGCCTGGAAGTAGCGGACATCGTCCTCC